CTAGTGTAGACCCTGACAATCCTTGAGTAGTACACCATCACCATCAGAAGGACCCGAAAATCCTCCTAAACCCGCCTTAAAGTGACCGTTGGGATTCCTGAAGACTCCATTAGTTTCTTGGGAGTTTAGCTGTTTTGAGCTTCTAGGGCTGCAGGGTAAGAGGGTTTGGCAGGTAGCAATTCTTCCTAGTCTGGCGGTGGAGATTCTTCCAATGCTTCGGGCTTACGGCTTAGGGTTTAGGGCTTAAGGTTCCAATCTTAGGGCTTATAGGGCTTTCGGGTTTAGGATTTACCGTCTAGGCCTTAGGCCGCAAAAGAAAAAGACACCGAACTGAAGACCTGGACTCCATATACATATATATATATATATATATTTATATTTATATACATAGTCTAAAGACTCGCGCAAACAGAAATAAACTGCAAGTCAGCCTCAGAACCCCGGTGCCCTACGGCTCCACAAAAACATAGTTGAAAGTCAAAGTGACACGTAAGTCCCAAAAGCGTACCTCCGCTTCGCTCGAAAAGCGATGCCTAGTCCTAAAAGCTATACCCAGACCCCAACAGTGTAGAATAATCGCCTTGTATAGGTGTATGACCATTACTCTACCTAGTTTGAGAGGTTTAGGTGCCCCTCATGGCGCATACATGTTATCTGTTTGGCGGCCGCTAGGTTTGCCCCCCGCTTCTATTGACCCTACTTGGCGCGATGTATCAGTAAAATTGAACCCTAGAACCCCAAAGCCCAGAGCACTGAAGCCCCACACAGCCCTGGGGCTTGAACGCACCTAAACCCCAAAGCATTAAGCGCTGAAGCCTTAGGGGACGGCTTAGGATTTAGGGGTTTACCTAGACCCCCAACTACCCTCTAATATACCCCAAATTCGGCCATAAGCACTGATTCACCCTACCTCCAGGCAGTCGCAGCGATTGCAGCGATCGCCTTACAGCGCGGAAACGCTGGGAGCAAGGCCAGGCGCCAGCCGACGTACTCGACACATCTAGGATGAAGGTTTAGGGCTTGGGGCTTAAATTTCGGGGTTTGGGGTCCACAAGGTCTGAGGTTTAGGGTTTAGGGTCTTTGAAAAAAAGGCTTTGGTTTGAGGTCTGTAAGGTTTAGGGCGAAGGATTGGCAGCAAACCCAAAACCCGTCCCTGACCCCTAGGTCTGTGGTGTGGGACGGTCATCAGCAGCATGGTTACAACTTGAAGGATCAGGGGACCTAGCCAGGGTCAGAAGATAGCCAGTACAGTTAGGTAACAAGCATTTACAGTTTCAGGTCGCGGCCCTACACAGTTCAAGCCCAAACTGTTGGAAACCTCATAGCCTCAATCCTTAAGAGTAATGCAGAGGGAATCCCAGCACTATTTGGCCTTAGTCCGGTTTCCAACTTTATGATAGTTTACCATATAGATCTCCTCATGGTAACCCTTTTAGACCCCTTTAAAGGAGCCTTAGGAACCCCAAAAGAGACCCTTTTAAAGTTTACCGTAGGTCTACCTACGTGCTCGAAGGTATCCCCCAATCCTTCGAGTCGGGGTCCGGTAACACGAGGGTATTCGCGACAGAAGCGAGGCCCCTTGTGTGCCTTTTCGAAGCAGCTCTACGGTTGATGATATGAATCCTACATTACCCATAATAAGGAATATACCATAAATTCCGTAGTTTAGGGTCCTTAAGGTAATGCAGGATTTATATCATCAACCCTAAGGCCTCAAAAGCTTGGTCCCGAAGCCTCTCTGGAACCTAAGCTCTATATCAAACCCTACAGCCCGGAACATGAGGAGCTGAAGATTTTGAGAGAGCCGGGGTGTGCCGTCCAAAATTTGGGGAGACAGGCTCCTTTTTTGGGAGTTTCCGAATAGTAGGGGTAACCTATTCTGGGGTCCCAATAATCAGGATCTTACTATTTAGGCTACTATTTTAGGGCCCCGTATTTTCGGATTCCCCCAATTTGGTCCGGCTTCACGTCAGGATTCGGGTCATTGTCACAGGTGGCGGCATGAGGAGTTCACGGTTTGTAGGGTATAGCGGTCGAGCGCTATACCCTGAACTCCAGCTAGATTCAAAAGCCACGACCCCGGCCGCCCAACTGCAAAGGTCAGCGCGCTCTTCTGCAACGGGCACCCCAGGAGATCTCCGGGATATTATGGGTACCTTACTTTGGGATCCTTAGAATACGGATCCTACCATTTAGGGGACTATATTCGGGTCCCCTTTTTTTCGGAAACTCCCAGATCAGGGCAGGAGCATTCTTGCGGGGATACTGGGGACCTTAGCCTGAGGGCATCGGCACATGGGGGCGTCAGGAAAGCAAGGACCCGAACCCAGAGACTCCAATACCCCTTAGTTAAGGAATAGACCCTAAATCATATTAGGGACCCTACTCTAATTTAAGGTATATTCCTAGTTAAGGGGTATTGGAGTCAGGAAACCAAGGACCCGAAGAGCAAGCCTAGATAGACCTACTAAACCCTACTTTTTTTGTAGGTTCTTATTAAAAACTCTAATATGGGATTTATAGGGACCCTACAAAAAAGTAGGTTCTGGTAGGTTAAGGTAAGACCCTTAAAGTATCAGAACCCTAGTTGGAAGAAGCACATGACTGTAAGTAGACAGAGGTTTACATTTCAGGCTCGAGGGCTTTAGGGCTCAGGGATCTTGGGGTTCGAGGGTTAAGGATGTAGGGTAAATAACGGGCCATTGTTAGGGTTTGCATGATAACACTGGCGCCATGTATAGGGCATCCGAAAAGGTACGACCCTTCCTTAGAGAACTACCCCTACAGATGTTGCCGTTCATGATTTCCGGAATGCTACTTAACAACCAAATCTCTTCGACTCTAACCAGGGGCAGCACAGCTTCTTAAAACAGTTGCTGGGTTTAGTGTTGAAGCTGAACCCCGAAACCTAGCAGAACCCTTAAGGAAACCCTTGCGCAGCCCTTGTCAGAAACCTTCACAGCTTTAAGGCATTCAGAACCCTTCCTAACACACGTTTACGGCACGTCCCTGTGCTGCCCTTATAAAAATCGTTCCCTGACCTGTGAGAGCAAATTTCTGCAAGGCCTTGCACAGCTTGTTTTTCACAAGACTTCTTCGTCACGACGTATCATTACAGCAAGCATCCACATGCCCAAACGGTAGGGTTTTAGTCCCCCAAGAACTATACCCAGAGCGGTTTCGTGTATTTAGAGCTAAACTATTTTAAGTACATGGACCCTCCGACATAGAGAAGTCGAAGCAGGAGCCCAAACCCAAATCCCGAGCCCTAAACCTTTGACCCCCAACCCCTAAACCCCCAAACTCTATGGTACCATTATAGATCCCTTGTAGGGACCCTTAGTCCCAAACTCAAAATACTTGTTTTCGATCCCTAATAGGAGCCCTTCTACTTGCTTTAAAGGAAACCCAAGCTAGGTTCCTGAGTAGTACCGTTTTGCCCTTTAAATGCGAGGGTCCCTTTATTCAAACCGAGTAGTAGCAGAAAGGTTACCCAACCTAGTATAGGAAATCCTAGAGAAAAGGAACCAGGAGCCTAAAACCCTGTAGTATCTAAAAGATGCCTTATAGGAGCCCTTATACTTCCTTTAAAGGAAACCCAAAGCCCCCGAAAACTTTAAACCCTAAAGCCTAAACTCTGAGCCCGAAGCTTCGAGCCCGAAACCCTACTTACAGGATCATGGGACGTGGTAGATGGGATTATGATAAATCTAACTATACTTATAACACCACTTAGGGTACTTCTAACAGACTTACAACGTCCCATGATCCTTTAAGTAGGGTAGTGAAGTGGTGAAAGGAGCCCAAACCCCCGTAGTACCTTATATAGATGCCTTATAGGAGACCTTATACTTCCCTTACAAGCAACCCTAAACCCCGAAAGCCCTAAACCTATAGAGCTTAAACTCTAAGCCTTAAACTCTAAACCCGAGACAAGGACAAAAACACAAAACTCTAAACCCGAAACCTTAGTTACTAAAATAATTGCCAATACTATTTTGGGGGCTCCTTCTTATGCCTTCCGAAGCCCTCTTCACGCGCACTTTGGAGCATGTTTTAGAAGCCTTTCACCTCGGTTTTTACAGGGTTGTGCGTTTTCGGTCTTCGGATTTGCCGGTGCGCGCAGGGTTTTGTGAATAAGGCTTCGGAGCGTTATAACTGTAGAAAACTGGGCCCCCAAACCCTATTCTCTTCATGAAGGCCCCTATATTACATTACCCTTATTATAGATCCATTATATACATATATATATATATATAGATAGATAGATAGCAGCCCTAATAATTGCACCCCTTTAAAAGGACACCCTATTCTAATTATTAAGGCCCCTATATGAGAGAAGTGGTGAAAGGAGCTTGGAGGCCGACTTTCGCCTCTCCTTCTGCTTCCACGCTCGGCGCCGGGCTGCGGGACCCTGCTTGGGTTTAGGGTTTAGGGTTTAGGGGTTTAGGGTTTAGGGGTTTAGGGTTTAGGGTTTTGGGTTTAGAGGTTTAGGGAATTTGCGGGGGTTTCTTTGGGGCAAACCGCACGACAAAGTCCTCCGATCCTTCAAGTGCTGCTCCTGTGATGCAGTGTCTTCGCAAAGTTGTCGTTGGGGCTGGGCCTGAGGTATTTGTATCACCTTGGCCCATGGAGGTACGGAGCACAGAAGGAAGATTGAAGCAAAATCATGCTGCTGAAGTGGGGCCCAGAACGGCAAGTACTGAGATTACGTAGCAACCTTTGGTGCTACCCGCTACTGCTGGTTTACAGTGGCTGCTGGAAGAAAAATATCCAACCCTCGGGCATCCATGACTCTGAAGCGAATCCCCAACACAAACCGTCGAGAGATCAGAAACTCTAACAGACAGCTACGTCCTAAGGCCAAAACTGCTCTCAGAACCCTTTGAGCCCATTGCCAGAATCCTCATGGCTGCTTACCCTGACGAGGGTGCCCCCCAGACCCAAGTTTGTAGGGCATGCATTTTGGTCGAAAAGCCTTTACAACCTAATCTAGAAACCTATTGAGCAAGCAATGGGTTTCGCTGGGTGAACTCAACAACCTTTCTTTCCCGAAAACAAGCCGGGGAGGAGGCGGACAGATACACCATGCACAGCGATGATGGGCAGCCGGAACAGGCCTGGGGTGTAATGAGGTTTGGAGTTTCTCAAATGACGATGTACGACAAAGAGGCTCTACCTTGTTCGAGGTGTCATGTATGAGGCGAAGCCTAGTGCTTGGAGGGTTTCGGTGCTTGGAGACACGGCGTCTTTCAGGCATTCTCGGGACTCTACCAGGGCGTTGTTCAGGAAGCAATATGGGAGTTCCCAAAAATAGGGGACCCTAATATAGTACCCTAAATAGTAGGATCCTTATCATGAGGACCCCAAAATAAGGTACCCCTATTTGCGGAAGCTCCCATATCGACTCCAAGGCATGTTCAGGCTGTGGCCGACAACCCGGCCACCCGGCCCCAAGCCAAAACCAGCAAGCCGGAGGGCTCGAGGATGGTTTCTCAAGTAGGTGATTCTTACCAAGACTATTTTCGGGGGTTCCTTACTATAGTTATTTTGGGGGGTTCCTTATTATAGTTATAGTATAACCTACCCCCAAAAACAATATTATAATTTTTCGGGCTGTGGTATCGGCGTATTCTGGAGCGCTGCTGACAGAAGACTGAGGAGCAAGGGATTGAAATGTTTCGGGCACAAGGTTTAGAGTTCAGGGTCACGATTCAGGGGTTCAGGGTTTAGGGTTTCGGGTGTCTGGAGCGGCGCCATGACGCGAGCGCAGAGTCAACAAGTTTTGCTTTGCGGCCAATGAATGTCAAAGAGGCGGGCTGGGTCCTCAATGCGTTGTGTTCTGTCCTCTTCTTACCATTTAGTCCCCTCGATTTCTGAAGGGTGCTAAAGGCTCTTGCTGTTTTTGTTGCTGAATTCTTTGATTAGTCAGATTATCAGTGACCGGCACTACTCCTATTGTTAGTGCTGTTGTCATCGTGAGCTTGATTCGTCCTTTTGCCTTGATGTTGTTAGGCTGTTGTTACCACAGTCATCATGACACACCACTCAGTGTACATGCATTTTTCGCAACAAGCAAGCTGTCGTGGTCATTCGAACAATACGGCGGCAGCGTAAGCAGCAGAGACACCATCCCCAAAACCGTCAAACCAAAAAACAGAAAGGCGATTTCGACGACTACTACGACCGTGACTATGATCACGGCCTTGCCACCGCCACGTCACGACGACCACAGCGACGACTGTGACGAGAGTCACCATGACCACAGCAAGAGCAGGGACGGCATTGGCAAGAGCGAGGAACAAAGCTGTCAAAGTTCCAGCCACGAGAAGCACAATACAACTGTCAATTCCAAAGGACCGCAAGCAACAACGTAAAACGACAAGACTGGTAAGCAGCTGCTGCTGCTGCCGCTGCTGCTGCTGGCGTTGTTGTTGCTGGTGGGGCCTAAGCGACGTTGAGCTCCTCATCGCCTTGTCATGAAAATCATCACAACATCACCCGCCAGCACGCCGAGTTTTGTTATCATTATTATGATGATTCTTATTCTTTTCAGTACTACTACTACTACTACTACTACTACTACTACTACTACTACTACTACTACTACTACTACTACTACTACTACTACTACTACTTCTACTTCTACTACTACTACTACTATACTACTACTACTACTACTACTACTACTACTACTACTACTACTACTACTACTACTACTACTACTACTACTACTACTACTACTACTACTACTACTACTACTACTACTACTACTACTACTACTACTACTACTACTACTACTACTACTACTACTACTACTACTACTACTACTACTACTACTACTACTACTACTACTACTACTACTACTACTACTACTACTACTACTACTCTCCTACTCCTACTCCTACTCCTACTCCTACTCCTACTCCTACTCCTACTCCTACTCTACTCCTACTCCTACTCCTACTCCTACTCCTACTCCTACTCCTACTCCTACTCCTACTCCTACTCCTACTCCTACTCCTACTCCTACTCCTACTACTACGACGACGACTACTACTGATGAGTATTACAGTGACCACTACCACGACGAAGACGACGACTTGATACTTCTCCTGCTCCTGCAGCTATTGTTCTTTGATTTCCGAACCTTTGCCAGGCCTTAGCCGCCGTTCAAGCAAGCAGCCGTTCAGCATGCTGGCAAGAGTCGCTGGCAGCCTTGCGCCGGACTTCTTCCCCGCCAGTCGTCCTCTTCAACGCCTGCGCAGCCAGCTGCTCCAAAGGAAGGCAGTGGGGGGCAGCTATCCTTCTGGCCGAAGAGATACACTGTCTAGGCTTAGAAGCAACTGTTGTTACTTGCAACACTCGCATCAAAGCAGCCGGCTCTGAAGACATGAACTGGGCCAGCACTCTGGATTTTCTCCGAGCTGCTCAGAAGCAGTCCGTGAGAAGCGACGCCGTCACCTGGAACTCAGCTGCAGATGCCTGCAGTGGACAAGGCGCCCGTGGTGTGTGGCCCCAGGCTTTGCAGCTCCTAGAGGGACTGAGCTGGAGGGGCTTGGAGAGCGACGGAGTCACTGCGACGCTTCACATCAAGAGTGCCGCGTGGCCAGCGGCGATGTTGCAACTTTCTCATCCGGTTGAGAGCTTCTTTGGAAAGGCGGCGAAAGTAGGGGTCAATGCCGGGCTATCGTCGCTGGCCTTGGGCACGGCTTGGAGCTACGGCACGGCACTACTGCACGCGATGCGCCATCGTGCGGTGGAGTTGGATCAGATGGCCCTCACCGCGGCCATTGCTCTCTATTCCGGTGAAGAGGCATCGGATGCCTGGATGGGTGCGTTGAAGCTCTTGGGGAATATTCACGCATTCGGCCTCGACCAGGGGACTCCGAGAAAAGCTACTTCCGTGGACAGGGTGGCTATCAGTTCGGCCATGACGGTCTGTACTAACCATCAGCTCTGGGAGCATGCTCTCTCACTTTTTGAAGCGCTTCTGGAGGCTCGCCGCGCAGATGTCGTCAGTTTCGGAAGTGCCATTTCTGCAGCAGCTTCGGGCCGGCTGTGGGAGTTGGCTCTACACCTTCATGAGGAGATGCCCAAAATGCAGCTGGGACCAAACCAGGTCACCTTTAATGCCGTCATCGCTGCTTGCGAGGAAGGCCTACAGTGGGAAGTGGCAGTGTCCATGTTGCCAAGCATGAGGCTGCTAATGATAATGCCGGACATTGTAAGCTACACCTCGACGATTTCGGCATGTGGCCAGGCACAGCGCTGGCTGGATGCGATTCTGGGTTCTTGTTAAGGAGTTTAACCTAGGTTTCCATACCGGGGAGCAATATACCCCCATAAGGTTTCCTTGCTATGGTAACTTAAATTAAACTTCCCTAGGGAGAATCCAGGATCCACCTGCTGGGCGAGGCCCTGCATCTGCGGCTGCAGACCAACATCATGTCACTGAGCTCGGCGATCAGTGCATGTGAAAAAGCCGGGGAATGGCAGCCAGCGCTTGAGCTCCTGGGCAAGGTCCAAGACTTGGAGTTAGAGCCGAGCACCATCACCTGCAATGCAGCCATCAGTGCATGTGAGAAATGCTGCAGATGGACAGAGGCACTTCGCTTGCTATCCGAGATGAACTCTCTTGGACTTCTGCCGAGCTCCATCACCCAGCCACTGGGCTTTGGAGTAATTCCCATACTTTAATAGTTTTTGGGACCTGTTATATACTCAAAGGGAACCAATTATGAAATCAAAGTCTATACTTGCTTCCCCGGGTTGCTTCAAAGCCCTAAACCCTAAACCCTAAGCCCTAAACCCTAAGCCCTAAACCCTAAACCCTAATCCCTAAACCCTAAACCCTAAGCAGTCCTGGACTGACTTCAAAGCCCAGGTCAGTCAGTATTGTGGCATGCGCACGAGGAAAAGCCTGGGAACATGCACTCTGGCCCTTTGGGGGTTAGGGTTTAGCGTAGGTTACACGGTTATGCGGTACTTGGGGTTTTAAGTCCGTTATGGACGAGATTTTTGTTGATATGTTCCTGTGAATTTTAACCCTGAGCCATAGATGCTAAAGCGCTAAACCCCAAGTACTAAACCCCTGAACCCAAAACTTCTGAATGCCCCGAGCTCACTAAATCCAAGTTCGTATTTAACAAGGCACTGTGGCTCTTTGGTCAGGGGCAGTTGCTGCAAACTTCTGGGTCTGAGCTCTTCGCAGCATGTGCGTCGACAGTCTCTGCATGTGAGACGGAGTCCAGATGCATCTTCAGAGGAGTTTTGTATACTGGGCTCACAGGGGTTTACAGCGTATTCTAAGGGTTTACATGGTTTTCAGAGTTTTGGGGGGCCGTGCAGGTCAGGGGCTACAGTTGTTTTGGTATCAGGGCTTACCAAGCGGCCAGACGGCGTTCCTTTTCGATGTGTTCGTGTTTGCCGTAATTCGGCAGTTGCACGGATGTTCGTTTCACTCTAAATTCTTCAGCGCTTTCTTCAGGGCTTCGGCCTTTGTCCATGTATATGGGTGAACCGGCACATTGATGTAACGACAAGAGTACTATCACGAGTTCCGCAAGTCGTCATCGTCATCATCGTCATAATCGTTAGCATCATCTTCTTCTTCACCAACACCAGAATCAACAGAGTACCAATGAACTAGCGGAGCCGAGAGCGATAACCGCCGGTACTTGTACTGTACTGCTACTGTACCAAATGACCTGCTGCTAGGACGAGGACTAAACGACGATACCGGGAAGGCGAGGCCGCATACAAAAGCAGCGCTACGATCGTCATCAACTACATCACGAGCTGTATGTTAGGGAGCTAGCTTGAAGCGGGCTTCCGGACAGTGTACGGGCCTGGGCGGAATTATAGTCCATACCTACTTATAGCAACTCAGTAGCGTTTGTCATATACCCCACACCGCCCCCTCCTGTTCTATCATGAAGGCCCCTATATTCAACCCTGTCATAGCACCTTCTCTGAAACCCTGTCAACTGTACAGTAGAAGCCCAAAAGTTGGAAACCCAATAGCCTCAATCCTTAAGAGAAATGTAGAGGGAATCTCAGCACCAGTTGGCCTTTATCCGGTTTCCAAGTATATGACAGTTTACAGTATAGATCTCCTCATGGTAACCCTTTTAGACCCCTTTAAAGGAGCCTTAGGAACCCCAAAAGAGACCCTTTTAAAGGAGTTTACTGTACACCTTTTCCAGCCGAGGAGTCCTCCAGAGGAGCTGCCCAGACAGTCCCAGCGATGCTGGCCAGACTTTGCCTGCTCTTGGAGGAACCAGAGGCCCAAGCTCAAGTGCTCTCAGTGGACGCTGAGGTATGGATGAAGGGAGATTTTGAGTTTAAGTGTTTGAACTCGTACTTTACTATACTATACATCGTGATGCTACACGATTTCGTTTCTGCTGCTTGATCCTAGGATCAGGTTCGAGTTGTTTGGTTCAGAAGGGTCGCCTGGCACAGCCGAGGAAATTCTCAGTGACTTCGGCGCATTGCCAGGACGAGCCTTGAGCATACAAGGCCGCAGGCTTCGGCAGAAAATGCTCAAGCAATGCAGGATTCTCTGTGGCTACCGGAGTGGATGGTCTGTGCAAGGAGTGGCTTGGAGGCTGAATGATCCAGTTTTGGAGCAGGAGTCGTTTCTCGGAGCGTCGCTCACACGAAGGCTACTGCAGCAGCTGCAGCTACCTGGTTCCGCTTTAAATGAAAGCTTTACAAACCTAGTGTCGAAGCTTGTAGCGGGCCGTAACCCATTTGTTGCAGGTGGTAACCCAAATCCCTCTAAGGAGCCCTATAAGGACCCCTTTAAGGAACCATACTTACTAAGTCCCTTGATCCTCCAAGCAAGGTTGGCATCGACGGGTGACCCAGCTGAACCATGGCTGCCAACAGCACGCGCAGCAGCCCGAACAGCGCCAGCGCTGACCAGTTCCGCCGATTCCAATGAGGCGGAACAGCGTGCAAAGGCGATTTCTGCATGGACGGGGGCGTCCTTGGATGCTTGGCCCTTATCAAGGAATGTGGTGTACATTGCCATGATGGTGCCATTATCGGCGTCTGTAGTTCACTAAACCATAGGTCTTTCTCATTGCAGTACCTCAAATTAACCCGTAGAAGCCCTAAACCTAAACCCAGCAATCAAGAAATGTGGGAAAAATATGGCAGCCCCCAATTTTACTTGCATCTTACTTAGATATACGAGACCTGTCTTAAAGGACACTTAGGACTTAGGGGTGTCTCGGAAGAACTGAGGATGCCACGGTTTCTGGGGCGCACGCCTCCATCCAGTACAGGAGCCGTGTGCACGAGTGGAGCTCCTCGCCCACAGTCGTCGAACCTAGCGAGCTCTACCGTTGAACCATGTGAGCACTACCTCTAGCCGCTTTTGCTGGCTCTTTATGCTTTTGTTCTGTACCGGCATGCATGCATGCATATACGCTACGAACGTGCGCACACGTGTATGCAGGTATGATTCGTGTCAACTGTCATTGTACATAGCATCCAGGAACAGGTCATCAATCTTAGATAGTGAGCGGGGGAACTTTTAGCTCTTTGGCCTTGTATATTAGCTCTACTTATGTTTGAAAGCTTGAGCTTTTTGTGGCCCGGATGCTGAAGAAGAGAGCAATACAGCTATGACTATGGAATAATTAAGTGTGAATGAGCGATACAACATGTGATAGCATATGATGATCCCGGGCCCGACAAGTCAGCACTTGGAGCATCAGAGGCACTTATAACAAGTGGAGTTGTAGGTCCTTGAATATGGCTTGTGTCTATGATGGCTACCCTCCTGATAAACTTAAGTATAACGACCCATGAACCTCCAAGTGGTCATGGTACGATTCAGCGGAATCGAGTCCTCCCCTAAAGGGGGCCCTCAGCACCCGGATTCTTGAGCTTTTAATCCCCACAGCCCGTAGCCCCTCTGCTACCCTTTACCCTTATCTTCCGCACCCTCGGGCCCTAAACCCTGACCCTCCGAAACATGAAACTCCGGAAACGATTATATTGCAAGAAGCCCTTCATTTCTGAACCCTGAACCCGTAAACCCCAAAGCCTAAACAAAGCAGAGACTGCCGAGGCTGGTCACTGGATGGGGAAGGGAGCCTGGCACCGGTCTTCGTGGACCATGCTCCTGGGCTTTAGGGTTTAGGGTTTAGGGTTTAGGCAAGAACCTCAGCAGCTGAGTAGGTAGCCTTTAACCTCTTGGGGTTCATATAATCCTACCATACCTGAAAAAGGGTTAACCCTTTTGGGGCTAGGGTACTTAGAGGATCTATAGGGTTCCTTAAAGGGATCTATAGGGTTCTTGAAAAGGGATCTATAGGGTTCCTTTGAATGGGATCTATAGGGTTTTAGAGTTTAGGGCTTAATTAGAGGATCATGGGGACTTAGTAACTAGGTTACAATTAAGGTAATTATAGCCCCACTACTTATAACCATACTAAGTCCCATGATCCTCCAAATAGACAACAACCTAGAGCTTTGGGCCCAAGCTTAAGCCCTGCACCCTAAATAGTAAACCTGGGTTGGTATGAGGGCTCTTGCAGGATCTGAATTCGGTTCCCTGCACCACAAACCATATACCCCAAACCCTAAAGCCTGAAACCCAAACCCTTAAACCCTGACCCCTTAACCCTGCACCCTACACCCTAAACCATACCAAACCCTAAACCCTCAAAGCCTCCCAGCACGAAGGATAGGTCTCCCCATGCGGAGCGGCAGGGGCTGCTGCGTGTTCTGCAAGGACTGCGAGCCCTCCGACACCACGGAGTGCCGTAGGGATATATCGAAGACCACGGCGTTCATAAGGGATTTCCCGCTTGTACTATGGTTTTCGAGTGTAGGGCTTAGGGTCTTTGTTTTGTTGTGTATAGGACATATGACTTGGCGTGTAAGTGTTAACAGGAAGACAGCGGGTTGCTTGATAAGTTTCATCCGAATTGCTCAAGTGAGCGGACTCTCAGCAGAGTGGAATTCGTCCGTTTGATGCGCGTACGGCGGCCAGGAAGACGGAAAATGGCAACTCAGCTCTGATCTTGTTTGAGATGTGTGTGTGTGTGTGCGCGTGTGTACGTTCGTGTATGTTTACAATATCTATATATCTATATATATATATATATATGCTAGAACCATGACTGTCATCAAACCAATCACTGCCGCTGTTTTGCTCATCATCTTCTTCGTCGTTACCACGGCCCTTGGTACACCATCCGGTAAGAAGGCTGATACCGACAGATCACAGTATGTTCAGTTTGCTTAGCCCTAAACCCTGATCCCTAAACCCTGATCCCTAAAACCTAAACCCTAGGCCCAAACCTCAACACGAATATACGTGAACGTCACGGCCATGGCAAAGAAAGGCCATTGCTAACACCCCTTGCAGTCCCCGCCGGTACTTAGTCATTATAGGACAGTAAAACCCAAGGACTCTATTCCAAGTATTGTGGTTCAAGGTTTTTGCTTCTGTAACTCCGGAAGTGCAAAGAATTTAAGTCAACCCTAAGCTCCTGTTTTGCTTCTCTGGCAGCGCCAGGAAGTCGCGAGATGCCCTGCGCCCTGTAGACCCCGAATCTCCATCCCTTAAGACACTGAATCCCTAAACCCCCTAAAATCTAAAGCCCCTAAACCCCCTGAACCCTAAACCCCCCAAACCCCCCTAAACCCTAAACCCCCTCTGCTTTGCTTTTTTGCCCGCCAGGGCCCCGAATCCTCTCCAAGCTCCAGCTGCGACCCAGCGGCAGATTCGACTGTCAGGTTTCGGGTCCAGGGTATCGAATAGAGTTAAGGGTTTGGGGTTTAGGATTTAGGGTTTAGGTTTAGAGTTTAGGGTTTAGGGTTTACTGGGTTGTTGTTTGGGATCTTTCTTAATTTCCCCTACTATTTTGTAGAGAACCATACTAGTAAAGATTTTTGAAAGGGCTTAAAGGACAACTCAAACGTGGTCGTGGGGGGGGGGACCCGTCGGGGCAAAACCACATATTGGTTTAGTGGGTTTCCAGGTTTAGGGTTCAGAATTCAGGGTGTCGGGTTGTTTAGGGCTCAGGGTCTAGAGTCTAGTGGGTGCATGATACGTGTAGCTGCGAAGCTCGTCCCACCAGAATTGCCCATATCACTCCAAGCGTCACTCCGCTTTTGCTGACCGTTTGTTTGCGCATGGTCAGGTTGGAAACCCCCAACATCATCCACAATCACCATCATCACCAAATTGGATGTTGTCACTTGTTGGTCAGGTCCGTCGGTTAGATTAAACTCGACACCAAACTCCAACATCAGATTGAACAGTCACTGCGTAGAAAATGCGGTTGGCCCTCGCGACTATAGACTACGGCGGACCTTTTGCCCGAGTTCTTCTATACTCGAAGACTAGGGAGCTTGAGACTGAAAACTTAAGCCCGACAGCACTAAACCCTGAATCCAGGCTTTAACAACCCCAACTCTAGACGTTAATCTATGGTTTATATAATTCCCTCTGAAGTCATCTCATTCCCTAAACCCTCGACCCAAAAACCCAAAACCCTAAACCCCTCATTGGCTTTCGAAAGCCTGGGCGGCCGAGGTAGCAAGAGATATCAGGACCAAGGCTCTCAGGCAAAGCCGGCCAAATGCTTAAGTTTGAAGGATTGAAAGGTGATAGGCTTGAGCACTTAGGATTTAGGGGTTTAGGGTTGCGGCTATATACAAGGTCAAAGGCTTACAAGGTTCAGGATTTGGGGGTTTAGAGGCTTAAGTGTTGCGGCTAAGGTGTTATAGGGTTTGGAGTTCAGGGAGCTTTGGAGATGTGGTTGTTCCTGCTGCTGTCAGTGGTGAGGACTAGTCGTTAAGATTTCGGTTTCACAGCAAGATGTAAGCACTGCCATTGGCCTTGAATCACTCTCCTTACCGCTACTAGTGTAAGAACTCCACGGTTATGTTCCTTCCTGTATCCTGGCCAGTCAACCGAGTCCCCAGCCCCTCCCTGACGTTGGTAGTGTGCAGTACCTCGTTATCGACACCATGACCATCATCAACCTCATCGCGGCAGTATCGTCATTCTTGCCACATTCGGCTTCCCAAGGTTGATCCACACCCTAACCACACCTTCCAGTGTTCCAGTATCGTCATCACAATCGGTATCAACAGCAAGGCCGTTGACGTCTTTTACTTTTCCTCATGCTCTCATGCGCATCATTATCGCTACCACTAACAAAAGCAACACGATGCTCAACCAGCATCATCGGCTTCAGCGGCACCCCCCGCGCACATTGCATCAGCTTTCGTTATCATTCTCATCATCACCACGATCATAATCACCACCATCGGCTTTCGTCAGTATCCGCATTGCCGTTACGTCGTCATCATCACCATGGTGATGATCATAATCGTCATCGTCATCATTGCCGTCGTCATCATGCTTTGTTTCTTCTTCACCCATCGCCTTTGTGGGTATCGCTGTATCCTGGAGAGTCGAAGGGTTCATGGCTGTGGTGAGGTCTTCTTCAGAGAGGGTTTAGGGTTTAAAGGGAACTCCAGAAAGTTAGAATATGGTTTCAGGGTAGGATACCCTATAATTTACCATAGAGGGTTTAGGATAATCATATTCCAACTTTCTGGCTTTTACTTTAGGGGGAACTTCCCCTGGGATTCGGATCTGAATGCGTGCATGCTGCTTTGGGTCTGCGCACTCCTGGCCAGGGGGTTGGAAGCATGTGCCTCTGAGGCCGAAATTTGGCCTAGCCCTAGAGCCGAATATGTATATGTGTTCATATATGATATGTATACATAGAGCATACATACGGATCATAATTAGAGTCATACACACGGATATGTGTATGTATATATATATATATATGTATATATATATATATATATATATATGTATATATGTATATGTATATATATATATATATGTATGTATATATATATATATATGTAACGAAATAATGTGCATTTTGCAAGTGGAGCTGTCAACCAATATGTCGTCCCAGCGCACGTCAGCAACTTCGAGGTTCGGGATTCAAGGCTTTCTGCCTTCAACAGGGGTACTTAGAAAAATATTTCAATTTTTAGTTATTATAGTCCCTAAGAAAGAACCAAAATTTCAATTGTTGCTAGGGTTCTAAGTTCAGTATAGTCAAGGCGTAAACCCCCTAAACCCTAAACCCCTAAACCCTAAACCCTTTAAACCCCTAAACCCTAAACCCTAGGGCCTTAGAACAAAGCCAGGCCTCCCTTCGAAAGCGAAGTTCCGGTATCCGCAGCACAGCAGGCTGCTGCGACTGCGGATTTGGGTTTGGGGGGTTTAGGGGGTTTAGGGTTAAGGGGGTTTAGTTTTTGGGGTTTGGGGGTTAAGGGGGTTTAGCGGGTTTAGGGTTTAGGGTTTAGGGTTTGGGGGTTAAGGGGTTTAGGGATGAGGGGGGTTTCGCGTTTAGGGTTGATGTTCTGATCAAGCTGCTTCGAAAGAGGTTCGCACAGTAGCCCAATCCGCGCTGATAGTTGCAGTGCGGACAGCTTGAGGAAATCAAGTGAGTACACATCATGATTTGACATGACATGCTTCATGCGTCATGCATGTGATCTTGAGTTGAGGGTTTGGGGTTCAGGGTTTAGGGGTTTGGCGGTTTGGGGGTCAGGGGTTTCCGGTTCAGGGGTTTGGGGGTTTGGGGGTTTAGGGGCTTTGGTGTGGTGTTTGAGATGTTAGCGTTAGGACCTGCAGAATGGTGGAAATGATAGTATAGTATAGTTTGTCTAGGGTCTATGGGGGAATGCCACAAAGTATTCAGACCCTTGTATTGTCAGGCTAAGGGTTCAGAGTGTAATCTGATAAGCTGTTGTTGAAGGCAAGGCAGGCATCAACTCTAAATCCTAGCACCGTATCACCCCAAATCCAGCACAACGTCTAGGACACCAATGATCCGTCTGCATGGTGCGACATTCAGATGGATACTTACCAATACAATGCCTTCGGGGTGCCTTTTTGTATGTTTAGAGTACACTACACCCGAAAACCCCATTAGAATCCTCAAGGCTGTCATTTTACCTATGAGCCCTGCATCCCCGAGCCTAAACCCCTATACCCTAAACCCTATACCCTTTCAGCTAAACCCTATGCCCTAGACCCTACACCCTAAACCCTATTCTAATCATGAAAAGTTGCCCTACAGTAACCACGGTCTCCTGCGAGGCACGTTGCAAGATTTGGGAATTCAAGTCCCGCCGGGGCAGGCCTCTTATGTCCAGGTGCGCCTAGGGCTCCTTTTAAAGGAACTATCACGGCACCTATAAGGGATCTACAAGGTACTACAGGGTCTAGGAAGGTTTTGGGGGGTCTCAAGGGGAGTAGGGTTTAGGGGCTTTGGGTTTAGGGTTTGGGGTTTAGGGGTAGGGGTTTGGGTTCAGGGCTTTGGGGTTTAGGGTTTAATGGTTCGGGTTTAGGGGTTCAGGGTTTAGGGTGCTTTGGTTTTGGGTTTTGGGTGGGTTGTAAGATTCAGGGTGTAGGGGCAGCAGAGCTCTGAGTTTAAGACCCTAAACTTTTGGCGGCAAAATATGTAGCTTTACTTTTGCTGCAGGGCCAAGACCTGCCCGGTTACAAGTTTTCGAGCCGTTTCGGGAGTTGTGTTGGCACAATCTCGTTTACGGTGCCACTTGGTTGAAATACATATTATGAGGGTTTCCGAAAATTAGGGGTACCTTATTTGGAGAGGGACCTTATTGGGGGGTCCTTAGTACGGATGATCCTACTATTTAGGGTACTATATTTAGGGTACTATCTTAGGCTCCTTATTTTCGGAAACTCCCATATCTTGAAGGCGGTGGGAGTCTGATAGGACTTTATGCTAACAAATGCTCATGCTACCACAGCGACGACGTCATCTTGTTTACATCGCTACACCTCGAGTTCATCTTGTTGCAGTGAGGTAAAACCCCTATAAACCCTCTTGCTGAGGCACCTGCTCAGCCCCAAGACCGACTCCCGTCAGCACAAATCCCTCCTGCAGGTACACTTGGCGAAAGCGAAAGCGGCAGGCATCCTTTGTGGTGATCGCAAGAGCAAGCATGGTTTCTCTTAGGAAATCGGTCTTATGCTTTACATCGTGAGTGGTGTGACTGCGGAGATGGTTGGCGCCGCTTGTTCTGACAAGCAACCAATTTATGACGACATCACAGTGGCGATAGCTATAGTGGTGGTGGTGGTGACTGCGACTATGATGACGAGGTTGGGACAAGATGAGGGTAATCAATAGTCAAATGTTATCCTTAGTACTTGTTGTGCTGATACTGGTTTTTCCTCATCACACCATTAGGCTCAGCACTACTACTCGACCTGTGCCACTGCGGATCGTAATAATTAATCGAAACAGTCATCGCCGTCGCTGTCGTCATCCATCGCGTCAAAGCGTTCCCGAATCCCGGGACTGACTTTAAACCGTAAACCCTCAATCCTCAACCCGAAGCCGAACCTTAGACTCGAAACCTAAGCTGCCAGACTCCTAAGGCCCGAAGAAATCAAAGGAACCCAAACATCCTGGAACCTAAACCAAAACCAAAGCCCTCTCCGAGCATCCGAAACCAAGAGTACCAGAGCCTGCTGGACAGAAAAAGACCCTACTAATCCAAGGGCAAGAAGGAACACAAAGACCCTAAACCCTAAACCCTAAGCATAAACTCTGGCATCTGAAGAAGTAGGGCTCGCATATCGTACACCACACAACCACTCTAACGCCTCTATTACTCCATACAAACACCCAGCCACCCTTGGTCTGGTTGCTGAGTCGATAACCTTTAGCCTTTTGGGTTCATATATAATCCTGCCAAAATTGAAAAGCTTAACCTTTTTGTTGGGCTGGGGTACCGTAAACTCCCTAAACCCCGAAACCCTAAACCCTAAGCCCTCGTAGAGCCCAAAAGCACCATGGCAGTCCCGCGCGCAACTCCTGGCTGGAACTCCGCGAGGTGTCGGACTTAGGGTTCACGGTTGAGGCTTCTGTGGTTTGAATGGTAGGGTGTTTACAGGGGTTTTGGGCTGCTGGGGGGGGGGGGGCGGTGGGGTTGAGGGGTTTAGGGTATAGGGGTTTCGGGGTTAGGGGTTTCGGGGTTTGGGGAGTTCTTTAATGTAGCGGCTTCATACGGGCTTTGCAGAGTTGGTAAACGCTTCAGGAGTTTAGGGGTCGTTGCGAGTTGGTTCTAGAGTTCCGCAGCTTTGAAGATACTCAGACATGGGATATTGAGAGCGATGGTGCTGGCACGGCTTGAGGGTGGGGTTGTTCAGGTGTAGGGCTTGAGTTGCAGAGTTGAGGTTTGCTCGGAAAGGTTTCCGGTTTAAGGAAGTTGTGGAACTTGGTAATTAGGTTCGTTTCGCTTGACAAGCCCTGGATCATTTGGAGCGTTTCGACAAAACAGGTATCTGACCATCGATTTTCGGGTTTGTCGGCGTGCTTGGTGCCCACCGCCCCACGGTGTTCCAACACAAGGGCTCGCAAGTTCGGGAGAACAACTGAGATCATCAGCATGAGAAGGTCTTCAACAATGGCCGTCATGAGCCCTAAACCGTGGTCCCCCACATACACAAGAGTGACCCTCATCAAGTGGCAAGCTTTGGCTTGTGTGTCGTGATTTCTGGAGGTGCTGGCTGTTGGCATCGGCAGAAGTTCATCTTTTGGGGTATATCGTATTATAGCTATGACAAAGAACTTCGAAAACTTGTAGGTAATTATGAAGGCCTTTTTTACTGCAAAAATATGAAAATTCTCAGCTTTTTGAACCCGGGGCGGCTGAACCTTTCAAGGCAGTGCACCCCAATCTCCCAAAGCCCAACTTCTAAGAGAATGAAGCTGTTTTCCACGGTACCCCTTCTTCCGAACAAAAGCCTGCCCACAGCCCAGGGCCCACATTCATATCTCGAAAGGGGCTTGGATGGTAGGCGCCACCTTGAGCACCAAGCTCTCACAATCCTGAACCCTGGACCCCTAAACCCTAAACCCTATACATGCCCGAAGCCATAGACACCCCTAAACAACTCGAAACACAAAGCCCCGAAATCTTGGCTTTGGAGGACCCGCGTCTCCAAGAGCTAACAAAGGCCCCCTGGCCTCGAGGGTATGGATGATGCGTGGGCTTAGTGGCTGAGCAGATAACCTTTGACTTCTTGGGGTCTATATTGGCAGTGGGTCCTAAGCCCTAAAGCCTAAATGTTCAGGGTTAGAGTACCCTTGAGCCAACATGTAGGGCTTAGGATATCCTGAACCCCAAACCCTGTCCCTAAATCATCCCTAAGCCCTACCCAGCCATGCAAAAGTATGTAGACTCATAGCCTTTCATTGGTTGGGCTATCATTTTATCCCCAAGCCCTACCTGGAGCCACAAAATGTAGAAATACTAGCCCGACAGAGCTGTCCGGCCATTCTGTGACTGACTTGTGGGGGTTCGGATCTGTTTGTTTGACAAAGGGCTGCTGTTAGGGGTCCTTCCTTGTATAGTAAGCCCCAAAAGTTGGAAACCGGATTAAGGACAAATACATGGAGGATCATGGAACTTAGTAACTAGGGTAAAAAAAAGTAGCTATACTTTTAATTACTTATACCCCCACTGAAGTTACTTGTAACCATACTTACTAAGTCCCATGATCCTCAAGTACTGCTGGGAGACTGATCTTTTGGGTTTCCAGCCTTTGCCCCCTGGTTTCGGTTGTGTTTCGGCTTGTTGTTTTCTGGAACTCGCACGTCCCTCCACTCCTCCTAAAACGGGGCTCCTTGTTGTAATTCTAGTATAATGGGCCGCATAACCCTATTCTAATTATTAAGGCCCCGGTATACCCACCCAAACCCTCACCCCAACCCACAGCCTAGACCCTTCGTCTCCCTAAACCCTAAACCCTCAACCGCGGAAGGTTACTCAGACTTTCCTCAGGTGCTGAGGAGTGGGACAAAGATTCCCATTCCCGAACCTGAGTTGGGTACATTAGCTGAGCTCCTGACTTGGGTTCCTGGGTTTGGAGTACCACACTTGAGTGCCTTTTTTGTAATTACCTGTTCCTTAGAGAAGCCATTATGAAATAATCGGCTATTACGTTTATCTCCCAGGTTACTTCAAAGTCCAGGGGTTAGGTTTCAGGCTTTAGGTTTGTGTCGGTCGCCCACCTTGATCCCTCAAACCTCAACCTAACCCTTAGCCCGGATTAGCGTTGAGGGTTCGTTGGTTGTGTCACGGCTCCTCATGCGGCCATTCTGCAGCTGTCTGCGAGTTACTATTTTGGGGGGTTTCTTATAAGTATAGTATAACAGAATGGGCCCCAAAACCCTGTTGAGTATAGGGTCGATAAAGTTCTGGAAGGGTTTTTGTTCCTGCTCGTGGCTGCGATCTGATGCGAGAGGCAAGGTAAGTACATAGGGCTTTGGGGTTTTAGCATTACGGTGAGACCTGGGTCAGGGCTCGCATGTCTCACTTCCATATCGTGTGGATCCGAGCTCCCAGCATCCAGGTGCTGTTTTTCAGTGGTCCCGCATTGCACGTGCTTGGTTTGCTTGAAATGAAGTCGGATTTTTGAAACTCCCAACCGCGAATGCCTGCTCTCGCAATTCCTCTGCTTCTGCGGCATGTCGCACAGTGGCTGAGTTCTGCATGTGAACTGTTAGGTTTTGTGTTTAAGCTTCCTGAGCCCCTAAGCCACTTGCAACCCCGTGCGCCCCATTTCCTTGCCTTCGCATGGAAGCAAAGTGCAAGTGGAGCCGCAGCGATTTGCTAGGGCTTGCCGCAGCTCAACATGTCGCACACTCTCCCTAGGACTCTGTGTCGGAGGCTAAAGGCTATTGAAACCCTGACAGCGCGAACCATTCTCGTCTAAACTAGCAGTTTGTGCAGTAAACACACACTAATTCCGTTGAGGATTTCGGCAAATTGTGCCGAAGCCCTCAGTAAGACACCCTAGACTCTGAACCTTACAACCCCTAAACCGCAGTCCCTGTACACACTCGTCAACCTCGCACCCCAAACTCTGTACTCTACAACTCATGCAGATCGTGTAGTATAGTGTAGTTTAGTCTATAGCTAGTATAGTAAACGTCGCATAGTATGGTGTATTTAGTTTAGTAAGGCACACTACAATATAGTGTACTGACGATATATATATATATATATATATGTGTGTATATGTATATATAGATGTATATAGCTATATACACACATACTTTACGATACTAATTAAATAATAATAATGCCGATAAAACGAAGCAGAATAGATCCTCATTTGTGGTACGTGCCAGCCGGGCCATGCCTCTCTCGAAGCAGAAGCCCCGAGGTACAGGGACTGGCCAGGGTTTTCAGATTGTACGTGCATGGCTACATACGTACACACATCCCTCCATCCATCCATCAATACATACATTATGGTTCTTATGTACATATACATAGATATAGGTATAGAGGGCTTATGGTTGCAGGGTGCAGGGTTAGTTTGCGGATCTGGAGATTGCGTTGTAGGGCTTGTGGCTCCACGCTTTGGCCATGCGATCTAGGAGTGTGTAGAGCTTTAAGGCTTTGGGGTTCAGGCTCTTACGGTCTTAGGGCATAGGGATCGGCGCCGAACCCCGGTTTCCGGTTTTCGGGTTTAGTGTGTTAGGATTTTAGGGTTTATCGTTACGGTTTAGGGTTGAGGGTTTCGGGTGCCCCGGGTAGGGTGTGGTTTTATGTCGGGGTGCTATGTTGACGCAGGAGAGGGAGAAGAGAGACCATACGCGGGCGTCTTGGCTAACTTTTAACCTTTTTTAGGTAGTATAGTCCCTATATAATCCCTGTATAACCACAAAAGTTAACCTTTAGTTCGCCATGATACCCGACAAGTAGGAAGAGGTGAATGAACCCTGAGATGTGAATGCTCAGTTACGGGCTCAACTCTGGAGGGTGCAGCTGCAGATTCCGAGCCCTTTTGGATTTTGGGTTGACCTTAACCCAGAATAACCTACCTTTTTCAGGACTTTTATAAGGAAATCAAAAGGTATGTTCTTCAGGGTTAGGGAAGGGTTTAGGAGCTATGATTGGGGCCATGGGGTTTTGGAACTTGTCGTTTTGAAGGAGTGTGGGGGGGGGAGGGGCAGGTGTTGTTGCTGAGAGTTGTCAGGTGTCAAGTGCGTGCTGACATTCAGTATCCTTTTGAGGTTCATACAATCCTACCATAGTTGAAAAGGTTAACCCTTTGTGGCGTTGGGGTACTCAGCCCCTAAGAAGAAACCAACCTCCAAAAACCCACGAGCTCTTGAAGTCTTGTCAGCCCACCCTGCCTTTTGGCTTGAAGCGCAAGTAAAGTGGGGGGTTTGCCGAAAAAAGGGGACTCTAGTATAATACCCTCAATAGTAGGATCGTTTTATTATCAGGACCCCAAAATAAGGTACCCCGAATGTTCAGAAATAGTGGTTCCCTCTTCAGTCTCTTTTTGGAGTTTGTAACCTGGACCGACTGTTCTGGGTGTGTAATCGGCCCCTGTTCTCTGAAGCCGGACAGCACCGAATGCTTACTCCCGGAGCCATGAGTCCCACTTTGTTTTCTTCGACTTGGCTCAGTTTGGTTTGGGTTTATTCAGGCGTTTAGCCCAGACTTGGACTAAACGCTCCCAAAGCCTTGCCTGGATTCTCCGATGTATGTAGGTTTTTTGAGTCCTCCCCCGCTTAATCCCGACACCCCGAAACCCTAAACGCATGTGCCTGAAGTTCTGAAGCCTTGCTGCCTTCTGCTTCGCCAGTTCGCAAGACTCGCTCCTCTTCGGCGTCAAGTAGGCCAGACCAGGGTGATCCGGCTCTACTGCTACTCAGTACCCAGTTTAAATTCAGGCATACTGGAGACAAATCCTGAGGTTTGCAAGTGGACTACTACGAAATTACTCTTTGGTACTGATAGAGTTGCAATTCTACGAATGCCACCACCACCGCAACAACAATCACTGCCACCAACAAGCACCACCAGCACCAGCAGTACCAGCAGTACCAGCACCATCGCACCACTAGCACTGGCACAAGTACGACCATAGAACTAGTACTACCAAACTCGTCAACATCATCATCTACTACTACTACTACTGCTGCTGCTGCTGCTGCTACTACTACTCCTGCTACCCCTCCTACTACCACTACTACTACTACTCCTCCTTCTCATCCTCCTGCTGCTGCTACTACTACTATTACTTACTACATTACTACCTCCTCCTACTAAGCTTGCTAATCTTGCTCATCTTGCCAATCTTGCTCATTTTGCCAATCTTTCAAACCTTGCCAATCTTGACCGCTTGCGCCACTTGCGCCACTTGGGGAGGGATATCTGGTGAGTTTTCTGGGTTTCTCTTTTCTGTCAAGAAGGCGTGTTCTGCTGCGCTTTGCGTGATGGCATAACTTCAGACTTCATATGTTGAGCGTCACTCCAACAGTTTCCAAAGTTTGCAATTGCAGAAATGCTGCTGGCCTAACTGAGAAACGTTGCAGAAACATCATGGGGTCAGATGCATAGCAGAACCATGTCAGCCCGAAGCTGAAAGATGGTTAGCAGTTCCGTTTCAGCTGTTGTCGCTGCTTATAGTTCCCACCCAATGCATCTCGCCCCCTTCCCGAGAAGTTGGTTAGTGTTTCTAGCCGGGGCTTGAAAATACAGAGAAAGGGAGACAAACAGAGAGCGGCAGACGGAGGTGGGAGTTTCAGAACATAAATTATAAAGGACACTAAAGAAAGAAGCTACATATCCGGATCCTCTCTCCGTAAAGTTTGCATTAACCGTGAAAGCTAAGGCGGTAGAGATCGGTACGGTTGACGATATAAATCCTGCATTACCCATAATCAGCAATATACCATTATTCCCATAGTTTAGGGTCCTTAAGGTAATGCAGGATTTATATTTTCAACCGTATGAAGCCACACGAGGCCGTTAAAGCCCGAACCGCCTGCAGTCTCCGACAGGGTGAAGAAGCGCCGAGTGTCTAGCGAAGGCCCGGGGAACGCTTTAGGGGTTTAATGGGTTGGGGGTTTAGGGTTAGGGGTTTAGGGGTTTAAGGGTGTAGGCAATTTACGCTTTTTTGAAATGCTTTACGGGGTTTGTAGGGTTCCATGGCTTTTCTGAGGGCTTCGTGGTTTGCTTTAGGGCGTGGGGCCGCTATTAACTACAGGACTATAGCCCACCCGATGTGAATTTTTGCGTCCCCTGAGTCCGGAAAAGTTAATCAGAGGGGAAAAGGAGGGACCCTTAATGGGGACCCCTACCCTACAATGGGCTATATAATGGGTATACTACAGCTATATGAAGGGTAGATACCTAGGGGTCCTTATTAAGGGCCCCTCTTTTACCCTTAGAATTAAGCATCCGCCGCTACCGGTTGGCGGGTAGGTTTAGGGTTTCGGAACGCCCACCATCCGCTCCATTCATAGCTCTACCTCAGGGGTAGCTGCTGATTGACTCGACAAAGTCGCTTTTGATATGCCTTGAAGCTCTAGGCCCTCCACGCCCTAAACCCCGTAAGTGGTCGGTACACCCCCCTACCCGACAACCCCAAAGCCTACATTCCCAAAGCCAAACCCTAAAGCCCTAAACCCTAAACCCTGGGGGGCCTCAAAACAGTTTGTTGCAGGAGCTGCAGCTGAAGAACCATCGCCGCCCCCGGCCGACGAAGGCACGCAGAGCTTTCTGAACCCTCAACCTTAACCCCCATACATCCATACGGACCCCACTACATCCCTTATACAACCCTATACAAATCCTATAAATCCTCAGAGATTACTTTATCCAATTTATAAAAACCCTATTATTGATGCCCTGATATACTCGTTCTGCCTTTAGTCGAACCTATGCCCGATACCCACCCTTAACGCTCCGCCTCCTTGCATGTCAAATCACAGACTAGGGGTGAGGGTATCCATAAACCCTCAAACCCGAGGCCGCGTGAAGTGCAAGGCAGCTACAGTAAAACAGTGCGAAGCAACCCGAAACCTTGCCTGAAGGATCAGGAGCAAATCCCTAAACCCCAAACCCGAATAAATCCGTCACAGTGACAGAATAAGGCTAAAGCCACTTGTCACTTGAATTGTGACATGCAGCTCCTTGTTCAAATCCCAGGCATGTCGCTCCGGTCCAGCGTCGGGTAGTTTAGGGGTTCGGGGTGACTGGAAATACTGAAAGTTTACACTGGACAAGGTATATCAGCAGCACCGCTACTGCATGCTAATTACCGCTACATTTGGAAATACGAAACATGTCTAACTTTTGTGGTATGTTTGTGCGGAATCTTTAAACCCTTTAGCGTGGAAGCAACTGATCCATTTACTGAGGAGGTAACAACATGTTCCAGGCTGAAGAGTACCTGGTGACCTAGTCTGAATAAAGGCGGGGATTCCTCTCAGTATTGCCAGGTAACTACCTTTTCCGGCTGAATAGAGTGACCTTGTTTAGGCTGCGAACTCTACCTACTACCGACACTAGCCCTGACCACCCCTGTTCACTTTGTTGCCGTGTTGGCCATGCCAGGTAACACAGCACCCAAGGCGGTGCAGTCCTCAGTCTTTTTATGACTAGTCTGGGACGAGGAGTACGAGTTTGATAGTTTAAAGTGTAAAGTTTTCACGGTATTAGCAACTACTCTGAAGACATATAAACACACGAGCGAAATCAGTGATTAGCAGCATTGCTAGTACTTCCAAGCCTAAACTTGCTGTGTCCTTCAGCCATGCTCGGGACTGCAAAGCATGAAGCTTGATCTCTGTACTGTAGCCTTTCTGACAATCTAAGTGACCGTGGCAGTAGAGTTCAGTAAGAACTGCAGGGTTGGCCGCAGGTTCAGCAGCTCCCAGGTTTTTCCGATTGCTGGCAACTCCTGCCGGACTAAGGCCACCTGCATGCGCCGGAACTAGCAACCCCTAAAACCTAAACCCTAAACCCTAAACCAAGATCCAGAGAGAATCCTAAAGCCACTGAAATCCGTTCAAAGATTTCGATCCCGAAGCCTCTCGCAGGCTATTCAAAAAGCCGAAACCCCAGCAGGCCCTGTTTTCATGCAGATCCCTTGCCCTTCTTTGCCTCCGGTCTCGTCATCTGAGAGAAGACCAGCAAGACCCAGTAATATGGGGAGGCCTAATAAGTACCTATGCCATTGTGGGGTTCCTCAAAATAAGTGTAGTAGAATGGGCCCCAAAACCTTCCTTTAATTAGTAAGGCCCCCCCATATATGACACCCTACACCTCTTCCAGCCCTAAACTCATTGAAGCTCCGGACTTGTGAACTAACTGGACTCTCGCAGTCCTGACCTTTATTGGGGATTTAAGCCCTAAACTGGCCCCAAACCCTAAACCCCAAACCCTTTAAGGCCCTTATCCCTAGACCCTTATATAGCCTTAAACCCTAAACCCTGATCCTTTTTTCGGTGAACTCGGGATGCCAGCCCCTAGCCGTTCAAGCCAAAGGAGTTCGATGCCGCTGATTTGGAGGCGCCTCGTTCGAGACTGTTTGGGCGGAGCTTCTGGTGGAGAGTTTGGGGGTTCAGTGTTTAGGGTTTAGGGTGTCTAGACGGGAATGGTATTTCTGGTTTATGTCATAAACCTTTCTCCTATAAACCTTGGAACCCATCAGCCCTGAATGCTTTCAACCTTGAAGCCTAAACCTTAAGCCCTTTCACCCTAAACCCTAAACTTTAAAGCGGTTAAGCCCCTTTAGCCCTGAATGCTAAACTTTAAACCGTCTCAGCCCTTTAACCCTGAACCCTAAACTTTAAACCGTCTAAACCCCGAGCCCTGAATGCCTTCAACCTCAGCAGGACACCGACGACGAGTCCGAGAACGACGGCCTCGTCGACGACGGCTCCTCGGACGACTCTGAAGATGATGCGCCCAGAAACAGGCCTGGTCCTGCAAGGGTCCTTCAAAGGGGTTCCTATAAGGGTACGATGAGGGTAATATCATATAGGATCCTTTAATAATTACCAAAACTATTTTGGGGAAATCTTGTTCTACGTATACTATAATGGGCCCCAAAGCATTAAGGGTCCTTTATGGCTTCAGGGTTTAGGGTTTAGAGCTTGGGCTTCAGGGAAGTTGCATACATTCAGCTGTGGTGCGTGAATGTCTCGTAGAAAATTCCTTGATGGTAGGGAGGCATAAGGGTGTCATAGAGCTTTGTCGGTTTTTCCTTCGCCTTCGATCTGAAGTGGGGAGGGGTCTTGAGACGGTGGGTTATTCGCTTTTAAGGTTTCGGGGTTTGCTGTTCAGGGTTTGAGGGTTAGGGTCTGGGGTTTAGGCTTTGGGTTTTTTGGGTTTGGGGGTTAGGGTTTAGGGTCTAGGGTTGTGGCTGTTTTGCACGGTTAAGCCATGCCGTCGACAATCTTGGAACCACCGACAATATGTCGTTTTCGAACTTGACACGAGTAAGACCTACAATCCTTCGCTTTTAAAGGCGAAGTTCTTCGAGTGCTTGTCGTGTTCGCATCATCAGGCAATGCCCCCGAACCCTGCCACACCCTGAGCTCTGGGCCAATGCTTGCCGTTTTGTTCATGTTTCTGACCTGCTTCCTTCTTCGATTTGGCGGACTTTTAGTCGCTGCAAGATAGGCCTGGGCCAGATGTCTAGCCAGATCTCTATTGCAGGGGCCTACAGAATTACTAATACTGTTTTGGGGTTCCCTATTATAATAAGTATAGTATAATGGGCCCCGAAACTCTATTCTAATTGTTAAGGCCTCTATATATTGGTTCCCTTACCACAGCTTGCTCATGACTTTCTCCAGGTCCCCGGGCTCTGAACGTAAGCTGTAATTCCCATTTTGCAGTACCGTCGAGTCGCCAACTTATTGAAGTTTCGGCCCTACAGGTCTGCGGAGCCACAGCCCTTAGGCGTCGAGGGTTGTTACATCTTTGAGGCGAGAGGCACTCGGCTGAGAGCCTTGAGGATATAGGATTCAGGTGGATGAAGAAGTGCAGTTTAGAGCCCATAAAGTTCTGTACAGCTAAATCTCCGAGCTCGACAGTCATGGATCTCACCTTGCTATGGCAGGATCGGCAACGTTCCCCTCGAGTGGTGAGCCTGGCAGAGTGTGCGATTCGTGTGAGCCAAGACTTCAGAAGGCACACCAATGTGTGCATAGTAAAGGACTGCTCAAACCCTGAGCCCAACAAAAAACCTTCGGACAAAGCAAAACGCCAGGTAAAGATGCGGGACTTACGGATAAACCAACACTAGTCCTAAACCATCCAAAGCTCTAAACCAGCCTAAACCCTATCGGCTAGAAACCCTAGAAAAGCTGTATCGCAAAATTCGGAGCCGAAGTGGCCGGATACTGGTTAACCAAAAGCTCTCCTGCTGCCACTTACGTCCCACAACTCGTGAGGGTTTCGGGTTGTTGGGATTAAGGGTTTTGGGGTTGTGGTGTTTTTGGGGTTGGAAGCTGGAGGCTTTAGGACTTCTGGAATTCGCAGAGTTTTTCGCAGAGTTTTGCTACATTCCAGACTCGGCGTAGAAAGCCCTGCCATCCTTTTGCTAAGGCACTTCCTTGTACGTCCTTAAAGGTTTCAGCCTTCTTGTGCGCTATGTTTGAGATGCCTAGTTTGGTTTAGGGTTTAAGGTTGTTGGGTTGTTGCGGTCGCAGGGTTTAGGGGCTTTGAGAGCTGAGTTCACCAGAGAGGCAGAGAGAGAGAGAGACACAGAGAGTGCTGTCGGAACAGAGTTGCTGGAACCTCTGCAGAGGTACAAAGATGAAGACCATGTGGGCTACGACATTGCCGGAGAGAAAGTGATGAGGAGCTTGGGCATAGAATGCAAGCGTGCCGACCATATGCTAGACCCGAGAAGCACAGGGAGGCAATTCCCGCTCAAGGCCGCTATCGTGGTTGCCGTGGGGCCATGATAGTGGCGGGCGGTAGCAGGAGTAGCCGCAGCAGTGGCAGTAGCAGCAGCACAGGCATTGATGGCAGCATAGAGCAGCAGAGGATTTAATGTCACTGTCAGCAATGGTGCTAACCCGAAACCCTAAACCCTAAACCCCAAACCCTAAACCTTGTCAGCCGTCTGAAGGACGCTGTCGACCGGTGAAATTGATGCCCTCTTGGAGAGCAAGGCTCGGATAAGGGCATCGAAAGACTGTATTTAGAGTTTAGAGCTTAGGGCTCAGGAATTCAGAGTTTAGGGCTCAGGATTTTAGAGTTTAGGGCTCAGGACTTTAGAGTTTAGGGCTCAGGGCTTAGGGTGAGGGGAGGAGGAATGTGTTGGGGAGCTTTTCCTGTTTCAGCATCTTCGATGCGCGCGTAGGTTGAGCCTATGTCCCGTCTGTGCTTTGGAGTAAAGGTTTCGGGACTATGCACTACACGTATTTTGCGAAATTATCCTGTGTTTATCAGTCTCTATTGCGCCGTGTGTGTTTACTCTCACTTTGTCTGTCTGTCTGTTAGTCAGTCAGCCAGTCAGTCTGTCTGTCTGTCTGCCTCTCTGTCTCTCTGTCTGTCTACCGTCTGCCTATCTAACTATCCAGCTATCTAGCTAACTCTGCCGATCTCATATCTATGTATATATATATATATATATACGTAGATAACTTTCCATCTCTCTCCCTCTCTCTCTCTCTCTCTCTCTCTCTATCTCTCTCTCTCTCTCTCTCTCTCTCTCTCTCTCTCTCTCTCTCTCTCTCTCTCTCTCTCTCGCTCGCTCACTCTGTCTCTCTCTACCTATCTGCCTAGCCAGCTAGCTAGCTAGCCGTTTGTTTATCTGTATAGCGTATGCACCCATGATGCATGCAGAGGACAATCCAGATGCGTGGCGCACCGTCAAGGACCACAAGAATCAGAGAGAGGCACGGCGCCCAAAGCAAGACTCCTACAGGGTTCTAAACAATTACCAATACTATCTTGGGGCTCCTTATTATAATTTGCAAAATATGCCCCGAAAGCCCCGTTCCAATTATGAAGGTCCCTATATTTGCAAGCCGGCTCTGCCAGACTTATCATAGAACAACCCCTGCATGCACGGCTTGAGTTCCTTTGATGCTCCGAAACACTTCGGCACTTCATTTGTTGCGTTCTTCGAATCATGTCCTTCGACTGGTTCTCTGCATATCCCGAAAGATTGGGCTGACATCTACTGCATTTGCTAAACAAAGTGCACTTTTGCTTCGTCGGGGGTGTGCATCAGGTCGTCCTGACCGATACAGACCTGGAGATCATTCGGCGGATACGTTCAAGGCGGCTCCACACCAAAAGGCAACACACATGAGCCCAAGCTTCAGTGCTCCCCTGCAGGATGTACCCGAGCGCAGCCACGGACACGACTGAAATGGTTGAGTTTGACAACCCAGAGGCAGGGATTCAGCCTATTCTACTCCTCGTACTTGGAGGTGCGTGGGTAGATCGGGGTGGATTAACAAACCCTTCAAGGTGGGCAAAACTTGATATCTACCATACTGATAAACCCACTTAACACTGCCCATGAACCTCCAACTACTGCTGTAGGACCGTAGGAGTTTCAGCATGTCATTGCAGTGCTCGTGGTGTTTGCGAGGCCAGAATACATCCAGAGCGAAAAGCACATCCACCCAAAGCCAGATTCCTTCCGTCGAAATGGGAGCGCATGAAGGCGCGCTTCTGCTAATGATGCTGATGCCTCCTTGTTACATCCTGTGCTGCAGGAGGGTCTGCATGTTTAGTGGCCAGAGCAAAGCCTAGGAAGTGCTGCTGGTGACGATCCCATGGCTGTCAGTCAGTGTTGCTACTTGGAGGATCATGGGACCTTGTAAGTATGGTTATAAGTACCTTAAGTGGGGTTATAAGTAATTATAAGTATAGTTACCCTAATTATAACCCTAGTTACTAAGTCCCATGATCCTCTAAGTAGCAGGGGCATGACTTCACGTCAGGCTTTACACTGATGGGCACAGACTTGCCTCTGCTGGAATTTGAATCATAAGGGCCCAATATGCACCTGAATAATCGGATCCGTAAGCAAGATACAGGATCCAGAATTTGGAGCACCCTCCCCCGCCAGTGGAATTCGAAGCTGCGAGTTAGGAAGGACCCCCATAAAACTTTTCAACACCAGGACCCCAAGTTCAAGAAGTCCACAACGACCCTATTAACCCCAAAGCCGTAATTCAAAAAGCTTAAGCCCTGTTGCCCTGGGTGCTGAACCCAAAGCCCTCCACGCCAGAACAGCTGCAAGGTGAAGAGGCTTGTCGCGCTGCTCCGTGAGGGCAAGATCAGGCCAGCTCGTTCTAGGGTTTAGGACTCGAAACTGCAACTTATTGCAGTGTATGGATTAGTTAAACTATAACAAACTGTAAGACCTTGTAATGTAGCATAGTAATTACATTATATACTGTAATTTAGTATGGTATACTAGAAATTACCTTACTACTATAACAAACTGTGATTAGGACTCCCCCTCTCTCTCTCACACCGATTCCGGATGGATCCATCGCGGTTCCGAGACAGTCGCAGCTGCATAAGACTTCGCGTCTCCGTGTGAGTACTGTAAATATTAAAAGTACGATACATGTACCATAAAATACGATACTGTAGCGTTTAGGGGCAGTTTAGGGTTTAAGGGAGGGTTCTCTCGAAGCTGCGGGAGGAGGGTTCTGTTCGGGTTTCTAGCGTATATGCGAGTCTGAAATATAGGGTTCTAAAACCGGTTTGTATACAGTGATCTATAAGGGGGGCTGTAAGGCTTTCTATAGGAGTTTCCAACAGGGTACTGTCAGGCAGTTCTTTGAGCATTCAGAGTTTAGGTTCTGCCGGCTTCCATGCTTGTAGGTGTTACAGGCTTTGGGGTTTGGAAAGATTTATAGACGAAGTTGTTAAAGGTCTGGGTGCCGATAAGTTTGAGCAGTTTTGAGCGAAAGTTTTCGCACTTGCTTTCCATGCTGTGGTTTGGCACCTTGCTTTTTATTGTTCGGACAGTGGGGGTAGCTAAAGTTTTGAGCGAACGTCTCGACTAAGTTTCTGCTTTTGCACCTTCTTGTCCATGCTGCGGGTGTCGTTGGCACCTTGCTTTCCATTTTTCCGGGGGGGTTGGGGCTGGAGCTTTTGCACCTTTTTGTCCGTGCTGGGTGTTGGGGGCGGCGTTGACACCTTGCTTTCCATTGTTTGGGAATGCGGGCTGGGGGTGTCGAAAGTTTCGAGCGAAAGTTTTGGGCAGTGCGTCTTTTGCACCTCGATTTCCCTGCCAGGGGTAGTGAGCAGGGAAACCACCCCTGGCCACTACCGGCCGCCAGGGGTAGTAAGGTGGGTTTTGCGCCTTGCTTTCCATTGTTCGAGGGCTGGGGGTGCGGGTTAATGGTCTTCTGTTCGCAGAAGGCGAAGCATCGCACTGGGAATCTCTGCCTGCTCATGTGGCGAGCTGTTGACAAAAGGGTTCGTATGTCGTGCTCGACTTCAGACTAGTTATTGTCGTACAGTGAGCTGTTGCAACTGGCTGAAAAAACTGCGCGCACTCCGCGCCGAAATCCCGCGAATGCCAGAACCATGTCAGGCACATCTTCGGCAAAGGTGCAAGTTCGCGGGTGCTAGAAATAACCCGTTCGTGGAACATATTGGGCTAATCGCCTGCCACACGACAAGACCATTTTACCGTTCTACCCATACTAAACACAGGTGAACGTTTGTATGCGACATCGGAAAGCACATGCAGTGCGCTTATTATGTTGAGGCCGGACCATGCTTGCTGGCACTCGGACGAACAGCATTGGAGCGTGCGTGGAATACTTGCAGGTGTATGATGCCGTCTTGCCTCCTCCCTTGCTGTCGCTGCGGCCTTCGACCAGACTTTTGTCAAGCGCTCGCAGCGTGCAGCCGACGTCGTGGGCAAAGCTGCAAGCTCATGCGACCCTTCAGCTGCCTAAGAATTCGCCCCTGCAGCGTTCCAGTGATGGCGGGGGCATTCAAGGTATCCAAGAATACCTGAGGAAGGCACAACAACTGCAAACTAGAAAGGCGAGGGCAGCGATGCTATGGAAATAAAGGCGAGAGATGAGCAGACGTCGGTTTCCGACCATTTTCATGTCGGCGCATGTCATATCGTATCATGTGGCATGTCTCGAGGGCGTCCACACTGGGTCTCCTGGATTTCTCCATCCTTCGAGTGTGTCGTGGTGACTCGTTTTGTTTTGTGAGTCTCTACATTCTCTACATGGTGCTTCCCACGTTTGAACATTAAGGTGGTTCCCCCAGTTGTTGGTTTCTCAAGGAAACACGGCATATAGTTGTGACTATTCATACAAATATGTGATGTGTGCATAGCCCACAGTCGCACTAGTTTCGAGTGGCTGCTCATCTTGAAGGCGGAGATGTTGATGAAGATCAAGTCTTCGGCTGCTTCGTCGGTACTTGTATCATGGAGCGTACTCAGCCGAGCGTATTGCGCCTTGAGCAACTGTTGAATTTCCTACGAGCTGGAAGCACGGAGCTTGTTCACGCTTTGTTCCACGACCGTGATGATGTCTGTGCTGACTCTGCCGTCTGGGGAAAGCACATCATGTAGTGATGCGCGCCTGTCATGTTAGTCAAGCGGCATGCTTCCGATAGATGAGACATGTGGCTTCGTTTCGACAAAACCAAGAGCATGTTTTCGAGTAGACACAATTCTGATAGCTTTTGATTTTCCAGTCTCTGCATGTTTTATGTGAGAAATTTCTCGTGAGTTTGGCAAAATTCTGACGAGCTGGACTTGGTGGCTAGAAAGCCGGGCTAGGCTGAGCTGGGCTGGATTGGACTCCGTTCCGCTGGAAGCTGGGCTGGGCTCCGGGAGCTGAATGGTCTGCGTGGGCGGGTGCCCAAATTTAGAAGCAGAAGGTCGTCGTTGAGTAGAACCGCAGGTCTGCTTGAAGCGAATGATCCATGCAATTTTGGAAAGCTCGGCACTCGCATCGGTGGGGCGAATGAAAATCCTGCCTGTTGCAACAATGTACACGCGTCAATCTCAGCACGTTGAACATCGGAAGAAGCATGCGGCCTCATACTCCTTTGTTGTTTAAAAACAAACGAAAGTTGGTTGAACATGATCGAGTCATGTTGTAGGTTTGACAGCTTTCCAGAGTTCGCAGCTCGACCCTAAGGTTCATGAAACAGCACCTAAGGTTCACGAAACAGCAGACACAGTTGAAAGCGTGGTTCACCGAAAGCTTTTCGTGTAGTGCAGCACTGACCCGGGCTCGTGTTGGGTGGCCGGAGTGGGCGGGGCTTGGCTGGACTGGATTGGCTGGACTGGCCTGGGCTGCTACGTCGGTTTGAAAATTCAGGGTTTAGGCCGTTTAGGTCTAGGTTTTCGGGTGTAGGGTTTTGGGCATCCAACGACGAACAGTAATTATAGACTAATGTCGAAGGCTGAGTCATATCATATGCAATACTTCATACTGAATCGTCAACTGCACCGATATAGATGAAATACGTCCATAAAGATTCGGGGTCCCAAAACTTCCACGTGCTTGGCTTTGACACGGGAATTGACATAAAGCCCATGCCACAATCAACCCAGAGCCAAAGAGAATCTTTGCAATCTGCTTGCATTACCCTCAACCCTACAGTTTGAAAGCCCCCCCGACCGAAACCTTTGCGAACCCTAAATTCGAAAGCTTGACGTGCCCCAAACTGCACGGCCTCGTTCCCTAAATTGAAGGACCTCGCACCATGAGCTGTGCAGAGCCTACTTAACTTGCGACCCAGGGCTTGGGGTTTAGATAAAAAAAAATTCAATGTAGGGTTCGAGGTTTCAAGGTTTAGTGTTTGGAGACTTCGACCCCCCCAAATCTTAAATCCCAGGCTCCTGCAAGGTCCTCATTAGTTTTGAGACCTTATAGACAGCACAAATTCCAAAACCCGCAAATTCCCTGCAACCATGAACCCTACATCCAAAGCCCACCTACACCCTCAACTGTCAATCCTCGAGGCCTCCGCCGCCTCCAGCCCCCGAAGTCTTCGACCTTTGGGCGGACGAGCCGGAGACGCGCCGGCGTCGCGCAGGGAGCCGAGGAGAAACGAGGAGGGACAGTGGCCCCAAAAACACTTCCATACTGCGGGCACCGTACAGGACGGTATAAGAACCCATAACCCTTGCACCACCGAACATGCATACATGCTTACGTACATAGACAGACGGAAGCAGAGCCAGACAGCCAGACTGACAGTATAACGCGGAGATCCCGGACTAGTTTTTTCTTATGACGCCCCTATGTTTATGTAGCATTTTGGGCTTGGGAATCCACAAAGGGGCCTACTGGGCTCAGGATTTCAGATTTGTTTAGGGTGCAGGGATAAGTATCTCAGAAGGGTTTAACCCTAACCCCCACACCTTGAACCCTTAGCCCTAAACCCCTAAACCCTAAACCCTCAGCCCTAACTTATGGGAGTTTCCGAAAATAGGGGACCCTAATGTAGTACCCCAAATAGTAGGATCCTTATTATAAGAATCCCAAAATCAGGTACCCCTAATATTCGGAAACTCCCAAACCCCTAAACCCAAAAACCCTATAGATCCCTTATAGGAACCCTTGAAGGAACCCCTACGGATCCCTTTAAAGGTACCCCTAACTTTCGGAAACTCCCAAACCCCTAAACCCTATAACCCTATAGATCCTTTATAGGAACCCTGAAAAGATCCCTTTAAAGGTACCCCTAACTTTCGGAAACTCCCAAACCCTTAAGCCCTAAATCCTATAGATCCCTTATAGGAACCCTTAAAGGATCCCTTTAAAGGAACCCTAAAGGCCCCTACATTAAGCCGCCTTCTCTCTGTTATCTCCCCAGAGACTCCAATACCCCTTTATTAAGGATTATACCTTAAATTATAGTAGGGTCCCTAATATGATTAAAGGTATATTCCTTAATTAAGGGGTATTGGAGTCTCTGGGTCTGTTTTGGAGCTCAGGCGCCGCCGCCTTTGCCAGCTCCGAAGATGGCTTTGCCCGGCCACGCGGAGTCCTACAACCCGCCGCCGGAATACCTCTTTACGGAGGCTTTGGGGGTTTTAGGGCTTTACCCTAAGCCCCAAGTAGTTCCTTTTTGGGGCTCATATTTAGAAATCTATAATGTAATCCCGAAAAGGAACTACTTTGGGTTCTACGGTTTAGGGTTAGGTTGACCGGGAAGTATAGATATGAAAGTTCGCACAGTCTGCATTTTGGGGTTTATGGAGAGGACTGACTACCTGTGAGTGAATACCCCCCCGCCGGAGGTCGGGGTCTCGGGTTTGGATTTAGCACGGTCTGTTAAGGACACCTCTTCACACAGGTAGGGCGTAGCGGCTTGGGTACTGGCAGTTCGGCAGGCTTATACCAATGGTGTTGGGAGGGGTTTATCGAGCTTGCTCAATATAGAAACCCCACCCCCGGGAATTAATTGTACGAACGAAGCTACCATTACCAAAAGAGAGATAAACGTATAACTAGGCCTAGGGAGAGCGTTTTGTGTCCAGGATCAACGGTGCTGAGAGCTTTGAGTATTAGGGGTTCCACAGGTGTTCACACTTTGCTAGGGTGTCAGACACTTAGAGGATCATGGGACTTAGTAACTAGGATTATTAAGGTAAGTGTACTCATAACTATTTAAAACGGTACTTATATCCGTACTTACTAAGTCCCATGATCCTGCAAGCAAGATCTAGGACTCTGGAGATTGGACAGCCCGACGCCTCGGCTTTTTATCGTTGCGCAGGGAAATTGTCTGTGGCTCCGCGGAGGTGCCTAACTGTTGACAAGCAAGTAGCACGGCTTCGGGTGCGGATCCCTGTTAATAATTATTATAATTAAGATATTGTAAGCATTATTCCTGGCATTATTCTCTTTAATTACGAGTTTGTTGTTATTACAGGTTGTTATATTATTGTATTATTATTGTTTTCCTTTATCATATTGTTGTTTTGTTATTCTTGTTTTCTGGTGTTAGCATATGAACCATAAAAAGAAGCCTGCCCGCTGAAGCCCACGATCTCCTCGGAGACCTGCCAGGAAGAGAAGAAGGAATGGGAAGAGACATTCGAAGAGGATCTGCGGCTTAGGGTTTTAAAAGGGTTTTATCGGCTTTATAGGGTTTTATAGGCTTTATAGGGTTTATAGAGTTTATAGGGTTTAAGGTTTAGCGCTGAGGGTTCTGCGGCTTCTCCTAGAAACCTGCTTGGAGGATCACGGGACATAGTAAGTAAGGTTTTAAGTTATAGGAACCTTGAGTGGGGTTATAAGTAATCATAAGTACAGTTACCTGAATTTGTAACCCTAGTCACTAAGTCCCATGATCCTCAAAGTAGACCCCCGAACTACTCTCCAGTGTACCCCAAAGGCCCTTTAAAAGCTACTCCACCCTGAAGGCCCTTCAATCGGCCATTAACGGTTAATAAAGGGTACTTCGGGTGTCCAGGTAGGTCTTTAGGATTTATGGTTTAAGGGGTTCTGGGAGAAGGCTTGGTTCGGAAGGTCTTTGAGGCTGTAAGAGGGTTTAAAGTTGAGGGTTTCGGGTAGCCGGAATCCCCCCTGGTAAGGTTAACTGGTTTGAATCAGGATGTGGGGGTTTGTCGTTCAGGGCCTAGGGGTGGAATGGAATGCCAGAACCTCAATAACCAGGGTTTGGGATCTAAAGAAGTTGGGCCAAAACCCGATAAACCCTAAATCGTTACAGGGCCGAGGGTATTATTACTATAATTACTATTATTACTATAATTACTATAATTACTATACTTACTATAATTACGATTATTACTATTATTACTATTATGACTATTATTATTATTATTATTGCTATTATTACTATTATTACTGGTATGTCCTCTTTGACCAGGAGAGAGCGATCACGCATCTGCCTCAAAAGTACGATGCGCTTCGCCGTGTCCCGGGCTACAAGGACTTCATCGTGGAACGTTTCAAAAGGCCGGGTGGGGTCGTCTTTGGGGTTTAGGGTTCAGGGTTCAGGGTTTAGGTCGTCTTTGGGGTTCAGGGATGATAGTTTAGGATTAGGGTTTCGGAATTCAGGGGTGGCAGACTTCTGGCTTGGAGTTACTAGTTTGGGCTCTGCCCGTGTTGTTCAGGTGTATTCAGTGTGGGGGGATAAGTAATTATGGTGCTACAATAGTTAAGCACCAGCTATCGGTGGATGCATGAAGGTTTCGTGCACGTGCGTGTCTTATCTTTATCACAGAGTTGCGAAAGGACCAGTGTAAAGCGCAGTGCCAACTAGGCCCTGAAGTGGTGCCCCTTGCTGTCCATGACACTTTCTTGGGAAAGCGACAATCCACACGTGTCTCCCAACAGGGGCACTAAACAGTCTAAATCCTAAACCTTAGACTAAGCCTACAAACACCCCAAATCCTAAACCTACATTCGCTACCCTGAGGTGTCTGGACCTGTACTTGGTGCCCCGGGCCTTGAAACAGCGGATGAATGTGGATCCAGCTTCTCGATTTTGAAAGAGTTTAAGGTTTTTGGGTTTAGAGGTTTTTTCTGTCGTGTATATGAGAGTTTCAGAAACAAGTAGGCCCAATAAAGATTCCAAGCAGTATAGGACCCCATACACATGAGGACCGCAACAAGAGATTCTGTCAAGCCTTTCCGTATGGTGTTGAACCGGGTACCTCTTGCGAAGGGCGTGAGAGGATCTAACAAAATCTCAAAACTTGTTGTTGGGATGTTAAGGGCTGGAAGGTCAAGAAAACGGTTTCCACATCGTTTGTTGGGGGTTCTACGTTCGGTTCCTTCGTTTTCTGAAAGTCCCGAGGCTTTGGGCTGAGGTTTCCAACTACACTCCCTACTATATTCCTTATGGGGGTAATATAGGGATTATTATTTTTATTTTTTGGGTGTTTCTTAAGCAAATAGTAGCTCCATGCATGTCTACCCCAGGTTTCCCACCTCCTTGTACCCTCAAATAGGGTTTTATGGTCGCAAGCAATGGGTATTTAGGGTTTACTAGCAGGTATAACGCATATAGATGGAGGGGCGAGGTGAAGATTTCAGCTTTTCAACCGAATGCCCTAAACACTAAACTTTAAACCTTGAGCCCTGCATCACCGAAACACCCAACCCCCAAAGTCTGAAACCCTCACAACCCTTGAAACCTGAATGCCTCAAGGCCCCCAAGCCTATACACTCCCATTTGAGGGTACAAGGAGGGTAAACCCTAAACCCCCAAACCTAAATTCCTAAACCCCTCAACCCAAAGAGGGTCCTGGCAGATCCTGGCAGAAGAGATCCCGAAACCCCCAAGCCTAAGCCCCTTAACCCCTCAACCCCCTGAAGGGTCCTGGCAGAAGAGATCCCGACAGAATCGACTCCTCCCTCCCCGCCCGTGCCTGCGCCCCCCCCCGGCGCGCGCCTGGTGCGCCTGAGGAGAGTCTGCTGCCGAAGCTCCCGAGCCCGAAGGTCCGGCAGTCAGGCTTTAATGGTTGGTAATGAGTAACATATATATATATATATATATATTATAAAAGATTAGAATAGACAAGAAATGGTTTGTTATTTTAGTTTTCATCGATTCTGAAATTGAATTTGATCGTTCTCAGTAATATATACTATAAACGACTAGAATAGGCAATAATATATAGAATATGCAAGAGTATATAATATACAATCTAGAAGAGTCATATCCCATAATATGCAATATATATAGATAATATCAGGCTTAGGGTCTGGGGCTTTGGGTTCAGGGCTTCGGACTCGTGTTTAGGGCTTGGTGGGTTTGTTTCAGTGCTTCTTCAAGAGATCTATAGGGTTTTGCAAGGGTTCTTAGGTTCCCCAGTAGTCGTCGCATTCCATCTGAATGTGTATGTATGGATGTATGTATGTGCGCATTGTAAGAGTTGCGAGCCGCAATCCGAAACCACCCTTTTACCCTTGTTCTTTCTGGGTTCTTTCATTCAAAAAGTAGGAAAAAGAGTACACTTGTTCTGACGGGGCTACAGAGGAACCTAGGTTCCATAAGGCTCAAGAATGCTTGGAGTGTTGAACTTGGGATTTGGGGTGTTCCGCACGTCGAGTCCGAATGGCGGATTTCACAAGCGCTCCGATTTTGCAAGCCGAGATTCAGGAAAACAAATCCGGTCGCAAACTTCTGGCGCGAAAGATATATTCAATGTGGAAGCAGGTGTCGGAGCGAGAAATATACGGACCGGAGACACCTTAGCATCAAGACGTCTCTTTGGCGGAACGATGTCGAGATCAACTGCGAGAGAGATTAAGGATTTCGCATCAAAGATGCTCGAGAATTTCTTGAGATCACAGCAGAGGTGATATCGAAAGAGCTCCCAACATCTCACAACGCCGGAATTGCTTTCGCAAAAAGCGAACTTTGGGTGGATACGGAGGAATCGCTGTCGTTTACGCAGGAGATCTGAGATTTGTCGCGTCTCTTGAGAGGCGTAGCCCTGCCTCGGCGGCGACGAATCGCTAAGCCGGACAACATACTATAGGGGTACCTTTAAAGGGATCCATAGGGGTTCCTTTAAGGGTTCCTATAAGGGATCTATAGGGTTATAGGGTTTAGGGGTTTGGGAGTTTCCGAAAACAGGGGGTACCTTGTTTTGGGGTCCTATAAGGATCCTACTATTTAAGGTACTATAGTAGGGTCCCCTATTTTCGGAAACCCTCATATTTGTCATATGTGCGACAACCTATGGTGACACAGGATCATTTGCAGTCACGCAACCACTAGCACTGGATGGCCCTGTGGATCAACCAGGAGAAACCTTCAATCACGGTGCCAGTTGGACCTACACACCCATTATTCGGGACCATATACCACACGGGTTTCAGGGTTCCCGAACACGAAGCCTGCCTCAGCCACCCGATCTTTCAAAGTCGCCCCTAAATCGCACACTTCATTCATCCAACATAGAGGCCTCTCGGAATACTGTTCCGTCGGGTTTCTCGTAAAACATCATTGCTTATAACCTTCAACATTTTAACAAAAACCCACCCAAACCCTTCTAAGCACTATGAGGCTTGCTAAGGCCCCGTATTGGGATGCTCAGCGACAGTGCTGGTCTCCGGAAGGGTTCCCAGAGACTCCGAAACCCCTCATTAAGGAATATACCTTAAATTCGAACAGGACCCCTAATGTGATTTAAAGCTATATACCTTAAAGAACTAAAGGGGTTTTGGAGTCTCTGTGTCGGTGTACACAGGGCATCCAGAGAGAAGACTTGATTCTTAGGGACCCAAAACGGACATAAGTACAAGCACTTTATAGGGATATCCCTATTGGATATCCCTATCCTAATTGGGCTTCAAAATAAGGGGCCTTATATGGGATATCCCTATCCTAAGTTTCGCTTATGTGCTTTTTTGTGGTTCCGTAGATTCGGTTCACGCCGCACGGCCCCCTAAACCCTAAACCTAAACCCTAGACCTAAGACCTACACCTAAACTTAAACCCTAAACCCTAACCTAAACCCTAAACCTAAACCCTAAACCCTAAACCTAACCCCTAAACCTAAACCCTAAACCCTAAACCCCAACAGGACCTTCGCCCCTTCCCGACGCACATCGCCGTGGCCTACGAGGGCCACTCTGGTATGGTAAGAGCCGTGGCTGTCGAGGCCTTTGAGGGTTTAGGGTTTATGCATAAGTAGGGTTTAGGGTTTATGATTAATTAGGGTTTAGGGTTTGTGATTAGGTACGGTTTACGGTTTATGATTAATTCGGGTTTAGGGTTTAAGAAGAAGTAGGGTTTAGGGTTTATGATTGAGTAGGGTTTAGGGTTTATGATTGAGTAAGGTTCAGGGTTTATGATTAAGTAGGGTTTAGGGTTTGTGGTTCAGGGTTTATTATTAGGGTTTAGGGTTTATGGCTTAGGGTTTAGGGTTTACCTTAACCCGGAGTAACCTACCTTCTTGAGGACTTATATAAGGAAGTCATACTAAGGAACCCTAAAAAGATAGGTTATTCAGGGTTAAGGTAGGGTTTGTGGTTTAGGTTTGGGATTGTTACACAGGTCCAAAATTGTGGGTTTACTTAGGGCAGGCCTTTCGTCTTTGTAGCCAAACGATGGACTTCGAGATATTCGGCAGATTGGACCCAGTCGGACGTTTCAGCGTTTATGTGCTTCGAGTTGAGCTGTTCGATTCTCTGTCGGCTTAGTTTGGCACTTCAGGCGCGACCGCGTGCTTTTCAAAACCTGTTAGCATCAACCCTGAAGCCCGGCCAAGAGACTCAAACCCCAAGCCAAGAGGCCGAAAAGACTCTCCAGCGCCAAGCCCTTAAACCCAGTGCCCAAGAATGACTGTAAACAAGAAGCTTGGAAGTTGAGGGCTCGCGGCAAGGCAGCTTGGCACAAGACCTGGGGTTTAGGGTTTTAGAATTAGGCTTCTGGTGTTGGGTTTGCTGATGTCTGAATGAGAACGTCTGCACTCCCCACAAGAAAGTTGCTGGGGTCCGGAGCAATATCTAATTATCCTGAACTCAAAGGTATCTTCAGGGTACGTTTATTGTTTTTTGGTTTGGGCGCCAACTCCCTCAAACTGCAAGAAACCCATCCTAAACCCCAAAGCCCTTGATGTCCTGCACAAGTCCAAACCCTAAACCCTGAACCCGTGACACTAAACCCCAACCCTAAGACCAAGCCCCTCGATCCTAACCACTCCGGTCCTAACCCTAAACCCTAAATCATCGTAAAACCTTTAAAAAAAACAAAGAATTTAAAAACCAACCCTATGCCTGTATCAGGCCACCGGCCGCTACCTGGCGACAGCATCCTCTGACGAAACGCTGCGGATTTGGGAGGCGCGGGTTGGAGGGTTGAGGAGAGTTGCGTCGTCTATGGGTTGGGGAACCTGATGTTACACGCTGAGGTGTAGGATGTTGGATCAGGGCGCAACCCATGCTCTCAAGATAGGTTTATTTGTCGACGGCGAGCACGATTCCGACGCCAGATGCCACTGGCAATATAGTGGCGGAGTCTGAGTGATGGAGCCGCGAGATACTGACGCCGGCTGCGGATATGGGCTCTGGCCCGGTGGACATCGCCAGCTTCGTGTAGAAGTCAGAACTTTTCATAGAGCGCGGTTTCCGGGTCGCTGGGTCGGCAGATGTCATGTCATAGGGACCCGAAAAGGGGGTTATGCTCTAAAACGGGATTTAAGCAGGCTTCTTTGAGGAAGTATAGTCCCCTACCACCCTCCCCTCTACCCCCCTAAGGGTCCCTATGATCATGAGTGTGGAAAGTTCAACACTTCGGGCGACAGCCTAGCAAAGGGCCGTAACATCCTAGTAGTGGAGTAGACAACCTTTGTTGTAATCTCTACATAATCCCAAAATTTAATCCCTATAAAATCCATGTATACTCCCTATATAATCTCTACACTGTACACTCTACATGCTCCCTGTATAATCCCTATAAAATCCCTATACTCCCTACGTATATAACCCAATATCCCTATATATCCCTCGAAAATCCCTATATGCTCCCAAAGGTTAAGATTCAGTTCCCCAGGATACTCGACGAGTAGGACCTGATGCTTCCTCCGGTTTAGGACCGGCTATGGCAGCTGGAAAGATCAATGTTCCTTCGTTATAATCTAGGAACCTGACTAAGAAACCCTGGCCCTATAACCCCCAAATAGTAGGATTCATATAAGGAACCCTAGCAAAGACCCTGGTAATTAACTTATAAAAACCACTGACAGGAGCCCAGTTGTAGGAGCGGAGCTCGGAACCCTGCGACGAGTTATGTGAAGGCATACCGTAGCCTGCAGATACCGAAAACCGCCGTGCGTTAGGTGCAGCTTGCCAATGTTCACTCCATGGCTGCAAGCTCTACACCCGACACTGTCAGAGCCCAGCAGATGCTTTTTGATACGTACGTTTGCTGCCCCCCCCAAGTTCCACTGAAACCCTAAAGCCCCCAAGCCCGAGAGGCCCAGACCCTAAAGCCCAAACCCCAAAACCCTAAACTTTCAAGCCTAAACCCCAAAACCCCAAACCCGCACCGTAAGTTTTACAAAACCCCAGGTCCCGAACCCAAAAGCCACCGAAAAAAAGCAAGCAACAAAAACCCCCAAAGCCCCAAAGAGGTGGCCACCGGGCGTCCAATCCGGTCACTGAAATTCAGCATCCTGGCCGCGTGTTTTCTTCCCAGAAGACTCCAAAACCCTTTCAGGAACCTTAAGTAAGGGTTCAGGGGAATATAGTGTTCGGGTGCATATGATCAAGATCATGCTCTTTCAGGCTGGTTTTGGTCTGAGGGTTTCTGCATTAGGGCCCCGTTTTTATTCCGAAGCCGCATTGTCGCTGCGGATTGTTCTGAAGCAGGTTCCCTGCAACAAGGGTTGGTTCGACAGGACTAACGCAGGCACCCTAGAGACAGATTTGTGATTCAGTCGCTTCAGCAAACTCTAGCTGCAGCCGCTGTGTCGAAGCCCGCTTGCTCTTCAATTGTTCTTGGAGGATCATGGGACTTAGCAAGTATGGTTATAAGTACCCTAAGTGGGGATGTTAGTAGTAATCAGTACAGTTACCTTGATTAAAGCCCTAGTTACTAAGTCCCATGATCCTTTAAGTTGGGCTTCCATAGTTGGTAAAGTTAGCGGTAGGAAAAGGGCACACTCTTCATGAAGGGATGCTTTGGAACTAGCCTAAGATGGCTGAGGACGACTCAACGGACGTCTTCGCCTTTGTACCGCATTCCGGGTTTCTGAGCAGAGAATCGTCACTCTGCTCAGAATGGATCTTCCTATTTTAAGATCTATTTTATGGCGGCCTTAATTACCAATACTAGTTTGGAGGGTTCCTTAATACATTTTTGGTAGAGTTTGCCCCCAAACCCATTCTGACTATAAGGTCCCTATAGTAAACAGAGGTTCCCGGGTTTCTGAAACTCCTATGGCCCATATCCCGTCAACGCGGTGATAAACCCGAAACAAGGCAGTGCTGTCACGGCCGTCGCCTGGAATCCACGACATTTGCTCCTAAGCGTCGCCGCGGAAGAGGCGCGGACGGCTGCTGTAAGCACATCTCAAAGAAGCATGTTTGGAAGAGCAAATCTATGTCTTGGGTTCCTTGTGCTTAATTGTCGTATGAGATACCCCAAACCCCTGTTCTAGTATGTTAGGCCCCTACATATTCAACACCACTTCCGGGAAAACAAGACGAGGAGCAACCCCCCAAGCCTCCCCATACTGGTAGTCCTTACTTAGAGGATCATCGGACTTAGTAACTAGGGTTAATTCTAATTAAGGTAACTGTACTTGTAATCATCTGCTTACTAGGTCCAATGATCCTGCAAGTAGCCGCCTCGGAGAAGACCACCGCACGAAGCTCGCGAACTTTACTGAGGGTTTAGGGCCTAGGGAGAAAAGGGGTTCCGGATTTATGGAACGACCCATTCATTGAAGCATGGTGAAGCATATGTCGAGCCTCGGCTCCATACACCTTGAATCATAGGAGGTCAAAAGAGGGTTTAGCCTGTGGGGGTTTAGTAGGGATGACGGTTTCCATAATAGGGTTCATATTGAGGAATCCCTACCCCAAGAATCTTATGTAAACCCCCCTTTTGGCCTGCCATCACTTGAAGCCTAAACCTTCTCAGAGAGTTGAGCCCTAAACCCTCTCAAGCCCTAAGCCGCCTTAGGCCTTAGACGCTGCACCCTCCAACCCTCCAAGGTAAAGGAGGGACCCTTAATAAGGACCCCTAGGTATATACTCTTATTATAGCTATTATACACCCATTATATAGCCCATTATAGGGTAGGGGTCCCCATTAAGGGTCCCTCCTTGTCCCATTTGAAACCCGGAACCCTTAGACGCTAAACCCTCAGATCCTGACCTCGAGCCCTTAGACCTTGAACCGTACAACCCGAATCTTCTACTAAACACAAGGGGCCATATACTGATACTCGGACAAAACCTCCCTCCACAGAAAACAACAAAAAGACACGCTACATGCAGTCACCTAAAGGCTTATATCAAAGCCTAGAAAAGCTTGTAAACGTCAACAAACCTAGACCCTCCATCTACCCTCTATTAGACCCTAGATGCCCATTATTTGGGGCCATATACCTCCATTTAAGGGTACATGGAGGGTCCTGGAAGACACGATAATTGGGTACTTGGTTTTAGGGTAGCAGTTATGTAGCTCAGTATTTAGGAGAGTACATGATTATTAGGCACTTGGACCCTTAGGGTAAGTCCCTAGACTCCTTGGACACTCTTCTGTGCCCTCTAAGGAACCCTTACGACCCTAAGCTCCTGAGCCTGAGCCCTGAACGCGTCAGAACGTCTTCTTTGTGGATCCGGGCCTGCAGCTGATACCGAAGGACCAGATTCAGGCTGTTTAGGGTTTGAGGTTTAGGGTTTAGGGTTTAGGGTTTAGGGTTTCGTTTTGCTTTGGGGGTGTTTCCCGAAGCACTCAAACCATCATTCCCTACAGATAGAAAAGCTCCAAACCTTAAACCCTTCCCAAGTCCTAAATCCTTGAACTTTAAACCCCAGAAACCACATCTCCAAACCCCCGAAGCCCCGAGCCCTGAGTCCCTTCAACAAGAGTACTTAGAGGATCATGGGACTTAAGAACTGGGGTTATAGTAAAGGTAGCTACACTCTTCTAATTACTTATAACCCCACTTAGGGTACTTACAACCTTACTTACTATGTCCCATGATCCTCCAAGTAGACCCTAAACCCTAAACCCTATAGATCCCTTTAAGGAACCCTATAGATCCCTATAAGGAACCTTACTTACTATGTCCCATGATCCTCCAGGACAGGATTCCTTGAAGGGGTTTCAAGGGTCCCGAAAGAGCTCTGATCAACCGCAGTACGCGGAGGACACGCCTGAGGATGCCGAGGAGGTGCCAGCGACGGTGACGTCAATGCTGGAATTCAAGGAGGCCTTCGGGTGTTCAAGGGCCTCGGCACTTAAGCGCGTTGGGTTGAAGGGCTTTTGTTTGAATTTGTTCCTTTTTTAAGGTCTAGGTTCTCTTATAACCCCCTTTAACTCACAAAAGGGCACCCTTTTTATTCCTTAGGCTACTCTTGGGTCTACCCTAAACCCTAATCCCTAGTGTATGATTCGGGTTCCGGGAAGTGGGTAGGTCTGAAGCCTCCAAAGCAAGCTGCACGGGCACGTAGTTATCTATTATAGGCTGTGTAGATACCTTGAACATTTTGGGGTTTCTAGAATCCTACCATAATTTAAGAAAGTTACACTTTTTGGGGTTAGGGTACTCAGCCCCAATGCTTAAGTTTGCCACTCCGGTCATGACGAGCCAAATTCGCACACCTCGCACTCGCAGCAACATCCTCCGCAAGCGCAGCATCCAGCAACCAAATCCTTCAACACAGACCCTACTGTTCTTGGAGGTTCATGGGACTTAGTAAGTAAGGTTATAAGTACCCTAAGTGGGGATATATGTAGTTTCAGGTACAGTTACTTTAGTTATAACCTCAGTTACTTAGTCCCATGATCCTTTTAAGTAAGCCCTAAACCCAAAGCAGTAGATAGATCCCTTTAAGGAACCCTATAGATCTAAGGAAAACAGAATAAGGAACCCTACAAAGGTAGGTTATTCAGGGTTAAGGTAAGCCCTGTAAAACCTGAACTGTTCCTGACGTGCAGGCAGCAGGAGTTAAGCCGGTCTCAGAGGGTAACGAGGACGAGGACTTTGCCTCAGAACAGCGAGTGTGGCGTGGTGTCTGCAGAGCACTCTTACCGGTTTGGGGTTCACCAGGACCCTCCATGTACCCTTGAATAGAGGTATATGGCCCCAAATAATGGGCATTTAGGGTCTAATAGTGGGTAGATGGAGGGTCTAGGCAGGGTTTGTGCAGCACTTCGCCCATCTGCCTTCGACTTTGGCACATCGACTCATTGCGGTCACAACCAACATCAGCATCATCACCGTTATCACCGGCGCAGACGGATTGAGTAGAGTCTGCTCCGCATGGTCTTGTTCAAGCCCTCTTGCTAGGTTTGCAAAATCCTGTCTTGCTCGCTATGGCCCTTGCAGTGCCCGTACATGCCAGCGCATTGTTGGTGACCTTGCTCGTCGCGCACGCGCTCCGAACAGACATGGTTCACTCCGAAGTCGGGATCCCGCAGGACGGACGTCCATTGCTCAATTCCACATTGAAGCATCTCAACCCATCCGTTCGAGAGAGTTGGCAGATGATGACGGCTCCGTGCGCAAAGGACATGAACGCCTTTTTTGCAGACCTTTTATCTCATTGTGTCTCGAAGCATCCACGGGAAAGCGTCCGTTGCATGGATCAAGTCTCGCAGGTATTTGACGGACGACACAGTGACCTCGCAACCCCTATCGAACAACACAGACGTCACGAAAGGTATGATGACCAACTGTCGTCTTGGTTTGTGCCATTGGCAACCTCCTCACAGTCGAAATCAAAAATGTTGTGGGCTGGCTTCTGGGATGGAGAAGATGCCGAGGACGGCCGCACGACTGAAAAGGCGCTGTTTAATTTTGCCAAGCTTGTGGACCATGAAACCGTGCACCCAGATACTATTCTGGGAAGGCTCGTGGACAAATACCACGTTTTCCGATCTTGTGATGGAGACCCTGGCGCATGGCGGAAATCGGAATTTGGCGGCGCCGCTTCAACTGGCGGCCCTTTGCCCCATTTTTGGAGGGCGGCCAGTGAGGCTTTCGTTTGGGCTATGGCAAAGGCAAATCAGCAGTCCATCCCCGTTATGCTCAACAAAGACATGTATTTTTATAACCCTCGCAACCTCTGGCTATCGGTTTTTTGGCAGTTTGAGATTCCCGCGATTGTCAACTCGCATCCCTACGGGCATTGGTGCCCGAAAATAGTCTTGGTTGACTTGCGTGGCAAGTGTGGGAAGCTGAGGAGCCTGATACGGACAAAGCTTGACGGGGTGCTCCCACCGGGGTATCCCGACAGAAGATTTTGCGGCGACGTCGTGTGCCTACCCTGCGGTCCGGGATGCAAATTGGACAAGGAGTTCGCGAATGTTCTGAAAACGCTGCTATTCACCCCAGGGTCATCGACTGAGGGAAGTGAGCTATTAGGAGGAAGGTAGTGGCGTGCCTGAAACCCTGCCGAGGCTCTAGCGGACTGTCTTGTGCTGGAAGATTTGTCCTGAAATGGCAATTGAGCCAGATGGGAGTTTCCAAAAATAGGGGGCCCAAATATAGTACCCTGAATAGTAGGATCGTTATTATAATGACGCCAAGATTAATAAGGTACCCTTACTTTTCGGAAACTCCCAGATTGAGCTGCCTTCAAGCACGCCTTTTCGCAGAGGTACATTCATACACGGAACATAAAGCTGATAACAAACAGTAGCTGGTAGCAGCAGCAGATCAATAGCAATAGCCATAGCCATAGCCATGTCAATATTATGTACCATGGCAATAGCAATAGCTTTTGCGATACCAGGAATACGGAGTATTAAGAAGAATATGGATAGGTAATAACAAGAGTACTGGTAGGAATAACAATCATCATTATCATCATACTGGAAGTGCATGCATACATGTATGTGTGTATATACATAAACATATACATACACATTCCCATATATGAATATACATACATACATACATACATGCATACACCCATGCATACATACATACATACATACATACATACATACATACATACATACAACATCTATGTACATGTATATATATATATATATAGATATATATATATATAGATATATATACATATATATATATATATGGGTATGTATATGTATATGTTTATGCCTCTGTGTATAATCTACTGTGTATATGCAGATGCATGCATGCATGCGGGCAGACAAACATGCATTCATCTACACATGCATGCACATTTTCCCATACATGCATACATACAGACGTATATGCATACATGCATGCATACATACATTCACCTCATACACATACAAAAGCATATACATGCACACATACATGCGTGCATGCATATGGCCAGCAACATTTGCAGTGAGATACACACATGCATACGCACACGTATGCAAGCAACATAGATGTACATAAACACGTACGTCTTGATCTGGATCTGTTCATACGTGTACATATAATGCTACACCTGCATTTGCATTTGCTTAGCCATGCACTTGCCATGTGTGCTCTCTCTCTCTCTCTCTCTTTCTATCCCTCGCTTTGACACACACTCCCGTCTATTCGAAAGCTGTGACTGCAGTACAGTACCTTCGCGGCAGCTTTTTTTGTCAAAGCCAAGGAAAGTCTTCGACAGCAGCGCGTGTATGAGAGCTAGTTAACGCGGTAGCCGTCGTTCTCCCCCTTCCTCCTCGTCTTCGCGGCAGTCGTCATGACCAACCTTAAAGCAACAGCAGCCCCTCCTCCCTTGGGTCCAATCGCTTGCAGCCCTGTGCCTTTTACACCCCTGGACCCTGAACATTGCAAACACAGCACCCCCCACCCCTTAGCTCTCCTGAACAGCCTTGTTATCCTTGATACGGTCAAGCCACGGTTCTCCATAACGCCGTCAACCTTAAACCGCAATTCCGATGCCTTGAACCATTATAGAGCTCTTACAGAGCCACTCCTTCTATAGTACATACTCCGAATGACTTAGGTCCTTTCGCAACCTAAACTCTTGACGCGTGACCCGTATCAAGCGCTAAAACCCTCAACCCTAAACCCTGAACCTAAACCCCTAAAGCCAAACACCTCAAACCCCTGAACCCTAAAACCCGACGACCCAAACCCTAACCTTCAACCCTAAAGCCCAAACCAGGAGGCCAATGAGGGGGCCAAGGCCCGGGCAGTTCGCTGGCACCGGGTGGAGCCCGACTCCGAACGCTACAAAGTGGGCTGCAGGACGGCGAAGGGCGTTAGGGTCCCTTAAAGGAAGCATAAAGGCTCCTATAGAGGTCAATAAGCTAAGGGTACTATAGGGTTTAGGGCTTTAAGGTGTCGATTTGCGCATTTTTGCGTGTGAGGGATGTTGGTTTTTGGATCTTTTTGCGGCTTACCTTAACCCGGCATAACCTACCTTTTTGAGGACTTATATAAGGAAATCATAATAGGGAACCCTAAAAAAGTAGGTTATTCAAGGTTAAGGTAAATTCCAAGCCCCAAACCCTAGACCCTGAACCCTAACCCTAAACCCTAACCCTAAACCCTAAAGCAAACTCGGCACCCAATGCTTTAGGCGTTGTTGGATTTTTCGGGTTAGTCAAAGGGGAAACGGAGGGATTTTTAGTGGGGACCCCTACCCTATAATGTGCTATATAATGGGTATATAATAGCTGTATTAAGAGTATATACCTAGGGATCCTTATTAAGGGTCCCCCTCCTTCTACCCTTGGAGTTAGGGCTTAAGGGATACGGGTGCCCGGGTTGACATAGCACGTGAGGGTTTCATGGGATCTTACAGGCTTTAGGGTTTAGGGTTTAGGGTTTAGGGTTTAGAGTTTAGGGTTTAGGGTTTAGGGTTTGGGGTTTAGGGTTTAGGGAGTTTAGGGTTTAGGGTTTAGGAGAGGATTTGACCTTGTGTCATTGTGCCGTGCAGTCTGGCAGTTGACACGGCCGTTTTGGGGGGGTTTGAGTTGATAAGGTTATGCTCTCAGTTGGGAGTTGCCCAAAAAAGGGTACCTTATTTTGGGGTCCTTATAACAAGGATCCTATTATTTAGGGTACCATATTAGGGTCCCCTATTTTCGGAAACCCCCAATTACCCCAAAGTTTAAGGTTCAACGTTGTTCCCAGTGCAAGCTGATGCAGCAGCAGAACTAGAGACAGAAGTGTTGCAGGGAATCTGTCGATCGCGCTGTTTGCAGATGCTTCCTTAGGTAGACTTTGGACGAGTGCTTGTTCTACAGAAGAAAACCTCTGCGACTATAATGGCACTGACATATCAGCAGTCAGTCGCATACGATCAGGCGAACTGTGCACCACATGTGGCTGTGGATGTGGAATCATGTGCACTTTCGTGTTTAGCACATAAAAGCACAGGAATGCCATAGGCCCCAAAGCCGAGACCTCTGAGCCCCAAACATGAACAGACAATAGCAGCAGCGCGGAGAACACGAAAAGCAGCAGCAACTACAATGGTATGGTCCTCAACATTGGCAATGACAAGACCGAACAACCGCACAAAGGCAAATCGTGATGGTGACGACAGTTTGATGCAGCAAAAGCTCCTCTAAAACCCGAGCTGTCAACTTTAGACCCTAAGGCCTAAGCCTCAGCCGCGCTTGGAGTTGGCAGGTTGAGTATCGCCACCGACGGCGATGTTCAGCTACCTGTCCTGGTTTAGGACCACAGGCCTAGGCTTGGGGTGGCGGGGTGGTTGCAGTACCCGAGTGCCACTTTAGACTCTGGGCTTTGGGATGCAAGGTGGAGGATTTGGGCTCACAAGACTGGTTTGGAGCAGTATTAGTTTGAGTACATATTATCAGTGTTCTTGTGAGTACTGTTATTACGAGTCTTATTGTTATGATTATTGGTATTATTATCTGCATGCTTACTAGGTTTACTGGGAACCTTAATACTTAGTTTGGCTAAGGTTGAAGTTGTTCGATGCGGGGTTCGACGGGATGCATGCGACTTGCTGCATTGTTAGATGACGATGCTTGGCACCTTGTCTCAAAAATTTGACCATACTGCATTCCGTTCCATTGAGTCAGCTTGGCCACGGCTTTTAACGTTGAGAGGAGAGGGCCTGAAACTTGAAGAGTCCGGACGACCCAGCTGATATCCACAGCATCCGACACCCTGGCATAGTGACCTGAATAAGTCAGATCTCCATCACTTAGGATTCCCTGATATACCCGCAGTGTACACTTTTGCTATCTACATGGTCCTGCCAAACCTAGATGCTGGATCACAACATACTGCTTCCACCCTTTAAGCCGGAGACCTTAAGTTCCTATGCGAACCTTTTTGAGGGAATCCTGAGAGGAACTCTGTTCTAGCTGACGAAACCCCAAGATCCCCAAACATCTGGAGGTTCCCTAAACCCTCAACCCAAGTCTGTTCTATCTACTTGACCCATTCATATATCCCGAAAGATCTGGAGGTTCCCTAAACCCTAAACCCTAATTCTAGCTGCTTCACCGTGTGCTACCAAGTATTATTTTTTACTACACTTAACCCCTTTGTATCCCCCAGAGATCCTAAACCCTAAACCCCTCAACACTAACCTCTAAACCCTAAACCCCTAAGCCTCTTTGCATCCCTCAGAGATCTGGAGGTTCCGAGAAGGGGGGGCTTAATATAGTACCCTAAATACTAGGATCCTTCTTATAACGACCCCAAAATTGGGTACCCCTAAATTTCGGAAACTCCCAAGCCCCTAAACCCTATAGATCCCTTATAGGAGCCCTTAAAGGATCCCTTTAAAGGCACCCCCCCTTTTCGGAAACCCCCATCCTAAACCCTAAGTAAGGTACCCCCCCTAAGTTTCGGAAATTCTATCCTGAACCCTAAACCCTAAATAAGGTACCCCCGCTAAGTTTCGGAAACTCCCAAGCCCCTGAACCCGATAGATCCCTTATAGGCTTATAGGAGCCCTTAAAGGAGCCCTTTAAAGGTACCTCCCCCCTAAGTTTCGGAAATTCTCATCCTAAACCTTAAACCCTAAGTAAGGTACCCCACCCAAACTTTCGGAAACTCTCATCCTAAACCCTAAATAAGGTCCCCCCCAAAGTTTCGGAAACTCCCAAGCCCCTGAACCCTATAGATCCCTTATAGGCTTCTAGGAGCCCCTAGAGGAGCCCTTTAAAGGTACCTCCCCTTTTCGGAAACTCCCATCTTCGGAGGTTCCTGGTCTGGCATCACAAAGGGAATTACTGCGCGGCGGTGAGCCCAAAGGCCGCCATTCCTGGGCGGTGTCTTGGGGTTTTTTGGGTTTAGCAGTACAGTATGGTATGTAGTATATAATAGAGGGTGTGTAGGAGAGTGTAGGTGTGTGTAGTATAGTACGGCATGGTATGGTATATTATGGTATTGTACAGTACAGTATGGCATAGTATAGTATAGTATAGTATAGTATAAGAGTATAGTATAGTATAGTATAGTATAGTATTGTATAATGTGGTGGAGCCCC